TGTAGATCCCGGTTTGAGCCTAGGGGAGCCTTGGAGTCATTGAGATGTAGAGCAACAAGGTACTCTCGCCCCACTATTCGGTCGAAGTTAGCCATCACGGTGTCGTACGAAGCCTGGGTTCGGATGTCGTGTCCAGCTGCCTATATAGCGAATCAATACCAAACCACTCAAATTCTTAGATAAGGGTCACAAACAAATAAGTGACATGTATCTAGGCAGACGCCGACTCTATCCTTATCCATAACATCTGCTATAATGTCTCGCAAATCTTCAAAGTTTGCACCTATAATATTTCCCTGGCCGGCCATATTTTCCAGCACTGTTTTCACAAATCTAGTTTCTTTGTGTGCCCGATTCAGGTGGGCAGCGATCCGTGCCAATGCCTCGGAGCGCGGAAGTCCAAGGGTAGATCCAGGGCTATGAGTACATATATCAGCACAAGAAAATCAACGACCCTCAATAGACAAAAAATCCATCAGGACGACCCGAGGCCGCGGAGGAAACCGTGTAGACACATTTACTTTAGAATGATGATATAACAATATCCGGGGTTGGTTAAGGCTAGCTTAACTTACTGGAAATTATACAGTCCAATACCGAGCCTTTCACATCTCTTCAGGTCGTCGATAAAGCAATCATATGCCTGTTTTGCTTTCTCTTTATCGCTTTGAGCAAGATTTATCAGATAGGATCCATGCGGGAGGATGTGCCTGTTTCACAAGTCAGCTCTCCTACGGGATTGTGCCATGCCTCGTGGCCTTCAGCTGCAGAATCCCGGTAACTGGAAATCGAGGTGTTAAAATATCATTGAAGCACCACCGTTCATAAACGCTGGCTGTTACTAGCTTTTGTTTCGGTCAAGAGATTAGTGCGCCAGGTAATCCCGGTACACCAATTCCTTCGGCCCGATAACAAAAACTGCAATTTGTCCGGAGTCCCACAAAGCTGTTAAGAGCCTAAGACCCGGGTTCCACAGCCAAGGAACCTGAAGAAACGATATGGGGGATTCCACAAACCGTTTCGGATCGAACCGTGACTCTTTACAGGCCTCTCGGAACGCCACAGCGTCAGATTCTTTCATGTCGGGGCTCGCCCACTTCCTCTGTGACTTGAGAAATAAGGCGAATGCGTTTCCACCAATGTTGTTGCTATTTGTGATAGCATTCTGGACCCCTGTTTTTCCGTGAATAAAAAGAAATGTTAGTAAAAGATCTGGATAGCTCTAGCAAAAAGGGGCTCTTCAAGACCCTTTGCCATGCTTACATGCGCACCCACAAGCATCTTCATGCCCACCGTTCTTGCCACAGCAGGAATCATTGTTGGTGGATTCTTCTTTGTTGAAGCTCGAACTTTCTTCTGGATGGTTGATTTTTGGCCTTCGTTGTCGCTATTACTATCGTTGTCGTTGTCTTCGCCAGCTTTTCGTTTCACACCAGCCTTTGGCTTCAATTTGACTGTTGTTTTGACCGTTTTTTCCAGTTTCGTCACAGTGACGGAAGAATTTGGCTTCTCTTTGGCAGTAATGGTTTCCCTTACTTGCACTGATTTATGTTCAACAACTTTAGTTTTAGCAGCTTCATCGCTTGATGAGGCCTCCGAGCTCTCGGGAAAGTCAATTGGTTTCGATTTCGCTTTTGCAGCTGCGGCGCGTTGAGGCCTAGGCATCTCTATCGTGCAATTATTGAATTATTGCTGTTATTGTTGAGTGCAGAAGTGATGGTTTGAGGGTAAGTTCCGGGACTGGGGAACTCAGGTAATGTAGATAGACAGGTACCGACAGGGGAGACGCGTTGATTGATACACGAACTTGAGTCCTCAAAGCGCCCTAACTTTGATAACGAAGTGTCCCTATATGAAACTTACATCGAAGAGACACTAATGAGTTCTCGTGAGAATATAATAAAACCTATACCCGCAGGTTTTCCAGAAAATTATTTTCCTTTTTTGCAATATGGCTTTAGTCATGTATTGAAGCCCCAACCCTATAAATCAACGTTGGCACTATGAGGAGTGGTGCGCTGGATGACAACAGATAAAACCTATATTAGGGAGCTTAATTGGTCCCGGATATATAGATGCTACGAACTCGGGTCTTCTTATATTGTTGCAGATTTCGCGGAAGTACCTGGGGATGCTAGTGCCGAACACTGAGTGATCACCTATGATCGAGAGCACTGAGGACAAAGATGTACAACCGGTACCACGATTCTAGGGGGTTAATTTCTACTCCGCCTAATCTCGCAACTAATATACTATCTAATTAGTAGCTCACTTGCTTACCGAATCTTGATGTATAAAATAATTAGTAAAATCTTTCCGGATTAGGTAGGTACCTGGCTCCATAGATTTTTTTTTTTTAATTCATAGAAGTTCCTAACTGACTACCTGTTAGCGAAAGGTTATTCAGGACTTCTAGTCACCCTCATGGTGGACATCCAAACATTATTTTTATAAATTTCGTGGCATCGTGATACTGTTGAATTGTCTGGTTCTTATTGCGCGTACAAACATTGGGAATTGACGGCATGAGTGCCTTGCTAGATTTTGAGTCTTCGCTTGTTCCTCTTAATCATGGATTGTGTCAAGCCTTATTTGCTTTCCTTTTGATTAACCGGCTACAAAGCACTTTACATGGTTCTCAGCTTATAAAGGACACTCGATTACTCGGATTAGAAATCATGGCACACGACTAAATAGAGTACCATTCCGTGAGAAAAGAACCTAAATTAACATCTTTTAACGGAAACCGAAGTCTTAGCCACTATTTCGTATGTAAAAGAAAGTGTAGAGGAAGATTACAGCAGTTTTCGTATTGTCTGTCCGCACTGAATTACACACACACAAGGTGATATCCGAGTTAGGAAACTGTGATTACTCTCAGGCCGCTATCTCAAATATTGTGATGTTACGACCTACCCATGTAGCAACGTAATATGTTAGGGTTATAACCTGGCAAAAACAAAAAATTAGAGCGTGTTCTGCTACCAAAATATTAGGTTTTTGATCAAGCCTTCGCAAGGCACAATGGAGGTGAATAAATTTCAGGACCCTAGTAATATACAATATTTGGGTTGGTGAATTTGGTGCTGAGTTTGGTGCTAGCGCAGTGAGGATTGAGTGATATGAGCTTGAATATTTTGGTCTGAGCAGAATATTTTAGATCGTGATATTGGGGCTTTAATAGGGTGGCAAAATATCCCAAAAAGTGGTTGCACGAACATTACTTTCAGAAAGAATCTCGTATATTGTGTGATATTCGTTGCAACAGGACGCGGCTAGGTATGTTGGATGTAATCTAACTGTTATTAGCAATAAGCATTGCCTAAACGGGCCGTCACTTAATGTGTATGCGATCCGGAGTCGGCAGATAATATGAAAACTGCTATAAGATAAACTGCAATATGAGTTCACAAGGCGGGGGGCGAGAAATCCAAGGACCTCAAGAGGGGCAGAAAATATTGCGGCCATGTGGGAAGGGTAGGTCAAAAACTGTTAAATAAGCTTTTGGTCTATCCTAAGCCGGCGATCGAGGTTTTGACATAGTTTCGAACGAACCATTATAATTAATATTATGCTGAGAAATTCGGCTTCTGATGGCAAAACAGCCCCAGAACTCTAGGCCGTACTACCCGAATATGCCTCCGGTAGAGGTTGAGAAGTGCACTATCCGGTATGTCCACCCTTAACCATCCAACTGCAGACATTTTGAAAACATGTATACATAAGATAGATGACAATATTTTGTATCAACCATGTCTCACCCCTCTTCTAGTTGCAATATGAATGACTTATTCAGCCAATAGCAATGAGAGCTTGACCGAGTGATAGTCCATGAACATATCCACAGTTAATAAATAATGATAATCTCTCCTACTCGCGTGCAACCATGGTATGACGATGTTCAAGAGATTACAGCTGTTCTCATTCAAGCAAGTGGCCGGGGGAAACTTCCAAAACCCAGCCTGAGTGGCGAGGTGGGTATACTAAGTGCGGGGGGACACGGGATTCGAACCCGTAACAATGTATCCACAGTCGCTCAGCAGTTAGGTTTAGTACTTCTCAGGCCCCTTCCTATGTACGGGCTTTATGATCTTACTGCTGCATGTAGTGTATGTACATGCATATGCGCAACACGACACGAATAAATTCAAGTCACATGCCATATGACATTGTCTCGAGGAATCATTTAAGAGCATAAGTCTACAAGTAGCTTTAGGCTGTCTGGAAAAAGCTCGAGCTAAGCCGTTTAAGCGCTTATGCCCAACAATACTTGGAAGGGTGTAGAGGGGTTTATTAGGAAATTTTCAAATTTCAGGTGGCCGTTTGTTATTAAGCTCATAAAGTAAATTTATCAAATCTACTGATTAAGTTACCGTTTCTACTATTATTAGACATTATCATACCCTCCGGGCTCCAAATAATTAGTTACTCAACCATTACTGATTAAATTCATGGATCATCACTCGATCCCTCGGGGGTCATGGTAGAGGAACACATAACTCTTGGTTTGTCAACTACGGCCTAATACATAATAAACAACCCGAACCGGACCGCTTTAGGGAGAGAACTCGTCTAACCCCCACCTTATCTCGTATTTATCATTACAGGTATTTTCATGGTAACTAAGTCCTATCTACACCAACCCATCCGCTGAAGTCTATTACGACCTAACACTCGCCGCAACACAGTTATGGCCGATCTTGTAATAAAACAAAGAAGAAACAGAAACAAAAAAATAGAAGAGAAACATAGTATCATAATTTCCCCAGATTCATCTTGCAGTCCCATTGACATGTTTGCCCGTCGTAATCTATCCCAATCCTGGCCTAGCCCGTTCCCCAAGGCGTTGTAACCTTACGCCGAGTGGAAAAAAATAAATAAGAAATAAGTAAAGGAGAAGGGAGAGAAAGTGGATCCTTCATGGTCCATCTGCCTTACACGTCTTATTTGGGGTGCATCCTTTAAGGCCCGGGTGAAATAAATACGAATAATAAAAAAAGCTAGATTGTTGACAGAAAAGTAGCGGAAAGTGATACTGATATAAACTGATGTTCGCAAATTCGACAAATCTTGATCCTTTAATTGTCTTGTTAGCGAAACTACTTTTAAAATAAAATAAAGGGATGGATACTCTACCTTTTTGCGCCGTAATTATACACTATTACTATAACCATGACTCACACCAAAATTTCCACTCATCCCGCCTCGCCTCTTCATCCATTTCCTCCCTTCATCTACACAGAGAACAGTGCTAGCAAGTAATACCAAGGAAAAAATATCCTTGAATCCTAGTGCTTCGGTTTGGAAGATGTTCTGTAACCCAGGCATATAGACCACTGCCGCCTGTCCCATCAAGCAGCCGGCGACTGCAAAATTGAACATTTTATTCGAAAAAATATTAACCTCACCCCTGAATATTGATTTCGACTCAGACCTGCAGGAAAGTGCAAGAATCATGTCAAAAAGAACAAAGCTGGTGAAAGTCATCGTTGTATCACGACGAGTAACAACACCATCTTTCATTTCCATAGTGTAGACAAACATTGTACCCATGACAATTGTGAATGCGGATGTCATGATTCGAATAAGAACAGGTTTGGTCAGGATTTGCTCGCTGCGTGAGCGAGGAGGTCGCGTCATGACAGCTGGATCAACGGGTTCAACGCCGAGAGATTGTGCGGGAGGACCGTCCATCAAGATGTCTATTTAAATAAAAGTTAGTAAAAATGCGTACATGTAGTTTAAGGTATTAGAGAAAATGTAACATACTAATCCACAGGATTTGCATAGGATTTAGAGGGTTGCTCAATCCAAAGAAGGTACATAGCAGCACCAAACTTAATGCCGCAATGCTTGTGCTAAGCTGGAAGGTCAAAAAGTTCTGAATGTTGTAGAAAATCCCCTTGCCCTCTTCAATTGCAGTAAGAATAGTGGAGAAGTCGTCATTACTTAATATCATGTCGGCTGCCTCTTTGGCCACATCTGTTCCCTGTAGGCCCATACTTATGCCTATATCTGCCATCTTGAGAGCAGGGGCATCGTTGACGCCGTCTCCGGTCATTGCTACCACATCGCCTCTAGATTGGAGGGCGCGGATGATCTTCATCTTATGTTCTGGCGAAGTGCGGGCAAATATAGAGGTAGTGGCGATCGCTTGAGCTAGTTGCGAGTCCGTCATGTTGTCGAGGTCTTCACCTTTCAGAACAGGCCTTACAATACCGCCAGGGCCATGGTTGTCTGGAAGAACATGCATCCCCAATTTCCTTGCAATGGCTACGGCCGTTGTCTCCGAATCACCAGTGATCATAATTACCTTAACACCTCCACGCATTAAAGATCGAATAGCTTTCTTAACTCCCTGTCTAGGTGGATCGTTCATGCCAACCGTACCGGCAAATGTAAGGCCGGTGTAGGCCGAATCGCTATCGTCTTCTAAGCTGGTATGGCTAGTTCCCGAATTTGGTCTGGAAGATACAGACCCACTCGCAAATCCCAACACTCGCAAACCTTCCTTCGCCATCATTTCAGCATTTTCCTTGGCCAGCTTCTTTTGGGCATCATCCATAGGCGCCTCTCTGCCATCTCTTGTAAGGTACGTATTGCACCTTGCGAGAACTTGTTCCAGCGCTCCCTTGATATATGCTTTTTGTCCGCCTATATCACCGCCACCAACAATAACACCCATCCATTTGTTTTCTGAAGAAAACGGAGATTCTGATACTCTTTGGCTTCTCTCCCTTACATCTACTTCTTCAAAGGCGTCCATCAAATCGAGTAACGCGACATCAGTTGCTTGGCCAACAAACCTAGTATTGGGGCCGTTATCGCCAGTCATTCCAATTGAGGTTGTTGCAGCTGCAGTGCCCAAAGAAGAAAGGCGAGCGTTATTGCAAAGATTACCAATTCGGATAACAGCGCTCAACGTGGGGTCGTTGGAACTATCAGATAATAAAGCAGATTTCTCCATTGGTTCAGTGAACGATGGTGTCCAGATCTTTGTAACAGTCATATGATTTGTTGTGAGAGTCCCTGTATTGGAGGTTAGGTACTCGAAAGTATAAATTAATCGGTATATACATACCAGTTTTGTCACTGCAAACAACAGAGACACATCCTAAAGTCTCGACGCTTGGTAGTTTCCTCACAATCCCACCGTGTCGTACCATTCTGAGAACTCCCAATGCCAGTGTAACGGTAACAATAATTGGTAACCCTTCAGGAATTGCTGCAACTGCGAGAGAAACACCAACTTGAAACATCTCGATCCAGCTTCTTCCTTGCCACAATCCTATCAGGACAATGATCCCAATAACTGCAAAACTCGCATAACTCAAGTCTTTACCAAGCTTGTCCATAGAGTTTTGTAAGGGAGTTTTCGGTTTAACAATGCTGTTAAGCATTGCAGTAATTGCACCGAATTCAGTCTTAGAACCGGTTCCAATTACTAGACCTTGGCCGTTTCCATTGCGAACAAGAGTCCCCATAAAAGCAATGCATTTACGATCAGAGATCGATAAGTCGGAAAGGGTGGGGTTCATAGAGTCTCTTGGTGCGACCGCACCCACCTGCTTCTTCACAGGTGCATTCTCGCCCGTCAGGTTCGATTCATCGATTTCTACTCCGGCGGCTTGGGTTATCCGTATATCTGCCGGAATTCTGTCTCCGGTAGAAAATGTAACCAAGTCACCGGGTACTAATTGACCGGCCATGACCATCTGGGAAGCCGGCGATCCAGACTCTCCATCACCGGGCTTTCCTCGTAGTAAATGCGCGTAATGCGGAACCAGTTTATTCAAAGCCTCTAAGCTCTTCTCCGAGCGATATTCCTGCACAAAGCCTACAGCGACTACGATAAGCACCGCCAGTGTAATACTGATCGCATCCTCCATATTTCCCATCAAGAATGAGACTGCGGCACTACCCAGCAGTAACAGAATGAGTGGGGATTCCACGAATTGCTTAAGGAATCGGATGTAGATGGAATCCTCCTCGGAGGTAGGGAGCTCGTTTGGGCCGTGAATGGAGCGGCGGAAGATGGCATCTTGTGCAGAGGTGAGGCCGTGTATTAATGAAGACTGTAGCTTTGATGCGGTCTCTTCGGGGGTGAGGATCGCATAGACGGCGGAGGGAGGCTACAACGAGACAATGAGCATCAATAAAAGGCCCTAAGGGAATGATGAGACACCATCTTACCGAAGATGTTGTGCTCGGAACGCTACTATTCGAATTAGTACTTGATGATGTGTTGAGGAATGGAGAAGCGGACAGGCTGCGTAATGGTATGCCTAGCGGGGTACTCGATCTAGAGGGAGGACCCATTTCCGAAAAGATACTAGAGAAGCTGGAGTAAGAGGAGGCGGGCTTTGACTACTGATGGTAAGTCGTAGGCGCTTTAGCAGTGAGTCTGAGATAGAAGCTATAACATGGATTGTCAAAATTCCACCCAAAGAATGAATTCCACAAGGGACAAAGGGGAGTTGAGCAGGCAGCGTGTGGTGGTGGATGACAAGTCGAATGAGTGAGAACAAGTTGTCTGAAACCGAGAAAAGGATGTTGGTGATGATTACTACCACCAAGGGGGGGGGGAGACAATAAAGAAGAAGAGGGAGAAGATAATGCGGATTCCTCCTGAGAGCGGAGGGAAGGTTGATAGTTCCACCGGGCACCTCCTGTACTAGGCAGTATTTAGCACTTTACACGATGAATCTTAATAGGAAAATTAACTTAGACATGAAGGTCCAGGATGTCTGTCCCCTTGCTAAAGGTACCAATGAGAAATAGAGCCGAAACGAATCGGGATATGTACAAGTATTGAGAATCCGCCCAATCGATTACCATACGAATACGGGGCCCTCTTACTCGATATATCAGTATAAAAAAAAGCTGCGGATATCTACATGTAACTACTTGTACATACATGTACTCACTCTGCGAGTCTACCTCTACACATTAAATCAACACGTAGGCAGGGTGGATGTACATGTAGCCTCTGATGATTCTTCAGAGGCATAGAAGTTGGTATCCTAGAATAACGGAGTAGAGTATGAACATGTTTTTATTGAGTAGAGTAGGGGCCACACGCCGTATAACAGAAGGACGTAGATAAATTATAGGCATTCGTACCCCCTGCAGTTATCCCTTTTCTCCTTTCAACCCATGGCTTTCACAGCAAACTGATGTTCTCCGTAGCTACGGGATCTCGGACAAGTTTACCGCCGTGTCCTTATCTGACAATCTCATCTTATCTCCGAGTCGCCGCAACGCCGCTTGGCCGCCTCCCAGCTGATTGCAGTCAAAGCATACATGTATTCTGCTTCCCAGCCTTCTCTTTAACTCCTCCCGCACTTGCGCCCCCCCCCCCCCATAATATTTAAACTACTTGCCCGCCCCGACCGTTTCCAGTCCGCTCCGCTCTTACATTCCGCCAAACGCTCTTGTCGTGTCCCTGAAATACACTCGCGCACGCATATCTCATCTCCGTCCCTGTCTGCCTTTTTGCTGTTGTTCCTCACCCGATCCCCCTTCAACTCCCCTTCGTTACTTACTCCTACACCCCCCACCCCCCTCATTATTACTATCTATCCTCATGGTTCACGCTTCCCGTACATGATTCCCATTTTGATTGCGATCCATATCTCGGCTGATTTGCTTAACACCCCGCCCACTTGATTCGTTGTCCCTCCCATTTTTAGTGTACCCCAAATTCGTCTCGCGTGAACCATATCGCTACTGCAACCACAACAACGCGCTTTCCCCTACCACCTCGCGTTTTTCCGCTCATTGCCAGCGGCTCCCTCTTCCCAAAGAAAAAAAAAAAAAGTGTGATTCGTTTTACCATACAACCATTTATTCGAAATGTTTTATTCAGAAACTCTTCTCTCAAAAACAGGGCCGTTGGCTCGTGTTTGGCTCAGCGCCAATTTGGAGCGAAAACTCTCCAAAACCCACATTCTACAGTCTAATATCGAAACTTCAGTTGGCGCAATTGTGGGTCAAGATCAAGCCCCAATGGCCTTGCGTCTGAGTGGTCAACTGCTCTTGGGAGTTGTCCGTATCTACTCGCGAAAGGCTAGGTACCTACTTGAGGACTGCAATGAAGCTCTGATGAAGATAAAAGTGGTGGGCTATACCCCCCCCCCATCTGGCCACATAGTTCTACCCCTCCCCCCCACTAATACATGCTCTGATAGGCTTTCCGACCTGGAAATTTCGATCTACCAGCTGGCGCTACGTCTCATACCGCCGCACAGCTCACCCTGCCTGATGTCATTACTGAGCTCGACTTACTTCTTCCGGACCCTACGCTTGACCTTGGCGACCTTGGCCAACTTCCTTTCGACTCTGACGCACACATTTCAAGCAATGCAAATATCACCTTGTCAGACGAATACTTCCTGGACTCCATCGACCGTGGCCGTGGACCTGGAGCGGAGGCGCAGGACGATTTTGAGAACGGACTACTCGACGATGACTTGAACCTCGACGTCGACGCGGATGAGGAGACAACCCCAAGGCCCGTCAGAACAATGATGAGAGCTAAGAGTGAGGAACTATTGTCCGAATCCGACTTTGCTTCGGAAATTGGAAGAAGGGCCCCGGCGCCTTTGGAGGATGACCTCATGTCAGACATTAGGATGGATGATGCGGGTAACCTTGGATTCTCTGACGCTCCAAAGCAGCCAGAGTCTGAGATTGGTCTCGAGGAAGACTTGAGATTGGGCTTTGAGGGCGATGAGGATACAGGCATGGGATTTGGAGGTGATCTAGGTTTCGGGGGCGACGAGCAGGAAGGCGATCTTACGCTCCTTGGCGCTCAGAGCGAGGTTCAGAGGAGGTCACCATCTTTGGGTGGCGATGCAACTCCTCGCGCTCAATCACCCGGCCTTGATATCGGGCGCTTTGAGCGAGCAGAGTCGTCCCCTTTGTCTTCAGTCCGTAGCAGTGTAGACCGTGAGCTTGAGGGGGAAATCAAAACCCATGGTGATATGCTCAATATGAGTTATCTGGATGATACCCTCCGTCCTCTGAGCGAGGAGCCAGAGCCAGAGCCAGCTGTTCATCACCAGCGATCAGTCAGAGGCCGAAGAGTCCTAATTGACGATGTTACTGAGATCCGCTCTAACCAGATTAAGGCGCAACAAGAGGATCGAAGCAAGATCTTGAGGGAGCCAAGCTTCTTGCCCAGAGACCCAACATTGTTGGCGCTATTGAGCTTGCAGAAGTCTAGGGGATTTGCGCAAAATGTGTTCTATCCCAAGAACATCGCACCTGAGCTAGCAAGCTTATTGAGCCCGGAGTTCGTCAAGAGGATGGCCGAGCTGAAGAGGAAGAGAGAGGACCCAGATGAGGTTGTGGCCGAGGAGGCACGCAGTGCGTCTAAGCAGCCCAGATTGAACATTGAAGATGAGGAGGAAATTTTGGCGCCAATGGACGAGGACGAGCGGGCCGGCAGCGGAGACGAGGGCGGCGCTGGCGACGAGATGTTTATGCTTCCAGAGGACGAAACAAGGATCGAGCACGAGCTGGGAGACGATACATTTTCCATCCGCGGCGCTGGTAAGCTCCTTTATGTCTTCACGGTCCTAGGATCGGTATCATACATTCCGTACTGATTGAGCTACCCTAGAAACAGAACACGCACCAATGACCCCGGGCATGCCAATGGCCGCCGACGAGGATGATCAACCATTTACACCTGGGCCTGAAGAGGAATCCCACATGCCCCCGACTTCCACTCAACCCATCTCAAAGCAAACGCAAGCAGCGGTTCACCTTCTCCGTGAACAATTCTCGGAGCCCATTGGAAAGAAATCCGCAAAGTTTTTGGAGCTTCTCCCCCACGCCACCACCACACGGACTGATGCAACAAAGATGTTCTTTGAGGTTCTCGTGCTCGCAACCAAAGATGCCATCAGCGTAAAGCAAACAGAGGGCTTTGGGGACATCTCCATCAAGAGCAAGAAAGCTCTGTGGGGCGAATGGGCCGAGGAGAGAGACGAGCAGCAAATTTTGGAGGAGGAAGAGAAGGAGAAGGAGCTCGAGCAGCAGAGAGAACGGGAAGGTGAAGGAGTCCAGCAGAGACACCTTGTGGTTGGTGTCGGACGAGGAGAGGGCGCCAGCGCTGTTGCGGCTTAAGTAAGTGCGATGGTTGTTAGGCAAAGGTTTGGGGAGTTCTGGGAGTTCTTTTTTTTTCTTTCTTTCTTTCCTTTTTTGTTAACCCATTTCATTTTAACAGGGATGGATGAGGTTATGGATAATTAGTTGACTGAAGAAGAGGAAGTGAGGCGATTTTGATGCTTTGTTGGTGCCGCAGTTTTCTTTATTATTCTTGAAGGGTTCTCTTTTTATTCTAATGATGGATTATATCGGGGACGAAAAAACGGATAGACATTGTAACTAGACGTTTTAGCGCGGATCTTTATTTTTTTTTCCTTCTTCTTTCCCGAGAGGGAAGAAAAACGGTGATAAGTATGTAGTAGGGTCGACTTTGGAATTGTGTACTTCTATGATTGACGGATGGATGGGCCGGTGGTAGGTTGGACAAAACGGAGGCTTTTTTCTTTTCTTTTCTTTTCCTTTTCGCTTTCTTTTCGAGTCTTTGGTTCACTCTGAGTTTTTTTCTTTTTTTTCTTTCCTTCTTATTCTTGTTCTGCCTGCGTCTCCCCAATAAAGAGAAAGGATTTGGGGGGGGAGGGGGGCGAACCATGGGACGGCCGGAGGTTATCTTTGCTTCTCATTTCCTCTGTATGTGTGTATGTGTGTTTTTCCCTTTCCCTTTCCCCCCCCCATGTGTACTTAAGCTGTCTCTGAATATCCTGTACTGGTACTTGGTACTACCTTGATCGTTATGCCCGTCCTTCGTTTATCTTGAAATAAGAAATAAAACAAAAATGAGAATTACAAATTCAATCGTAATCGTCCCTGGGATTAATAGAGAGAGAGAGAGATAGAAGGCCCTTGCTGCAGTAACACGAGACAATTGCATATCTTAAATATATGTATTCAATTCCCTCGTGTGTGCCTCGTGTCCCCCCCCCCCCCCCCCTCTTAGATCGTGGGGAGGAGGAGAGGAGGAGAGGAAAGTCTGTGCTTACTCGGCCGTATCCATGCCGCTCACACGCACTCACTCATTCACTCACTCACTCACTCACTCAACTTCCCAGGGCTGGGTGCGGTGCGGTGCGGCCTTCATTTCGGCCGAGGGGCCTAGTGGGCCAGTGCGAAGAGAGATATGAAACCGGAAGGCTGGGCTAGGGTTTTCTTCCCGAGACTCACGAGAGTGTGGAATTTAAAAAATAAAATGGGAGAAGAACAATGATGTGCACAGGCATGGTGCTCTACATGTATGTGCAACTTTAGCTTTGGTATTGGTATTGGTACTGGTATTGGTTGTTGGTATTGGGGGGTTTTACATGATGTACTCTACTCTAGCTCAGTAGCCTAGACAGAGGCAGAGTACGTACTCTACCTACATACATGTACCCTGCCTGAGTAAAGAAGAACAAGATCTCTCTCTCTTGTGGGAACAATGCACACTCGCTGCACTCCCACGCAGCCCCAGTCGCAACCCACGCTCGTGTAAAACAAAAACGGCCGTTGAGCACAGGAAAGGGCCCAGCCAGTCACATGATGTGGCTGCAGGGGGAGGGGAGCTAGAGGAGTCTCGCTTATCGATGGCAGCGGGGATCGTCGCACGCCAGGTAAGAGATCTGGGATTGGGGAGAAGGAGGTGAGACAGGGGAGGGAGAGGCCGAGCGAGCGAGGAGGGTGGGATGTGTGGATGGAAGGGAGGGAAGATGGGGGGAATGATTTGGCTTGGGCTCTGGCTGGGCTTGCTTGGGTTTGGTGGTGCTGGGTTGGGGGGGGGGAAAAAGTAAATTTTTTTTCTGTGGGTTGAGTCAACGCGAGTGAGGGTGCGGAGGGGGAGGGGTCTTTTTTTTTTTTTTTTTCTCTCTCACTCGGTGGTGGTGGTCACTGGCACTGGTGGTGTCCCCCCCCCCAAACGAGTCTACCACTTACTGCTACTATTGCTGTTTCTGCTTTTGTTACATACACTACGACGAGGCGTCTTTATTGTTTGATTGCCGTTCTGTTCTGTCGGCTTCCACTACGCTTCTAGATCGGAGAATTGGCTAATAAAAAAAATAAAAAAAGAACTTCTTCGCCTTCTTTCTCGCCTTCTACACAGCGAGCGACACTCATCGATATCTATCTACATCTTAGCGTAATCGGTACAGGCCAGATACCTGCCTCCCCTACTCTGCGACATGTCTTCACCGCCTTCTTTCTTTCTTTAATACTGCCTCTACTCGCTCCACTAAAGTACTCGCTCTCCATAACATCATATCACAACTGCCAACTCCACATCCCTCCCCTCCCCCCATCTCAAATTTCTTTATCAGCTGCGAGCAGTAGCAGTCTCCTGCTTGCTGCATAAAAGTGCCCACCACGTTATTGACCTTAACCGGCAGAGGCACCCGGTTGGCGTACCTGCCTCGCACCTACGCCGTACCGCAGTTAGCGATTGCCCACACGACAGCGTCCCCTCTCCCCCCCACCTTCACTTCCACCCTCACCACCTTTACCACTCAAACTCCTCTCACTCGGAGGCATCACGCTTCCCCATTGCTCTTCACTCTGGCTCCCCCATCAGTCTCCGTCTCCACGGCCTCGGCTGCCGTTCACCCTTACAACCGCCATCGCTCGTCTGCCACCACCCCCGTCGTCGCTGCCGCCCCAGCTCCCACAATGGCAAACACACCGCCGCCGTACGCCCGACAGGCGTCCTACATCACCGAGACGTTAAAGGTCTCACCGTCCAGCATCAAGCTCACGCCCTCGCCCGAACCACTGCATCCCTATGACTCGCCGACTGTGCATATTGACGACCCAGAGACCGAGGAAGTCATAAAGGCTGCGGCGCAGCTGCTGCACCAGTCAAAGTGCGTGGCATTCCCGACAGAAACTGTCTATGGTCTCGGCGCGGACGCCTGCAACACAGAGGGCGTGAAGAATATATTCTCTGCCAAGCAGCGCCCTCTCGATAACCCGCTCATCGTGCATGTGGCGTCGCTGCGACAGCTGCGGGAGCTCCTGCCACCCGCCCAACTATCCACGTCTTCCCCGCCGTCGCCGGCGCCTTCTCCACCAAACACGTCTCACGGCCTCCAAAGCAAGGCCTGCCAGGAGGGTGTCATCCCGGAGGTCTATGAGCCACTCATTGCAAAATTTTGGCCCGGGCCACTTACCATACTGCTTCCGCTACCGCCAAACTCGCGACTCTCGCCGTCAGTCACCGCCGGGCAGCCAACATTCGCCGCAAGACTACCAGAGCATCCAATAGCGCTTGCCCTCTGCTCACTATCGAGGCTCCCGCTCGCCGCGCCGTCCGCCAATGCCTCCGGAAACCCATCGCCGACCACTGCCGCCCACGTGTATACTGACCTGCAGACGCGTATCCCACTTATCATCGACGGAGGGTCCAGCAACGTCGGCCTCGAATCGACCGTCGTCGACGGACTCCACAATCCCCCCGTTGTCCTCCGCCCCGGCGGCATCAGTGTAGAACAGATACGCGCGTGTGGTGGCGTCTGGAAGGACGTCATTGTGCGCAAATCCGACACCGAAGACCACGATGCGGCGCCACAGGCGCCGGGAATGAAGTACAAGCACTATTCGCCCCGTGCCGGGGTTGTGCTGTTCGAGCATGGCGCGAAACAGCCGTCACAGAAGAATATACGGCCCATGAATGTCGCGGGCACGGGATGGTCAGGAAGGGTTGGGTTCTTGAGGACAAGAACATGGCCCGAAGGTGTGGGCGCCAATGAGGACAAGAGGTGGACGGTCTTTGAGCGCTCTCTGGGGACGAACGGGAGCGACATCTCGAGGGCGCTGTTTGCGGGATTGAGGGAGCTGGATGATCTGGGGGTCGATGTTATCTATGTTGAGGGTGTCGAGGAGACGGATGAGGGCCTCGCGATCATGAACAGGCTGCGGAAGGCGGCGAGTGTAGTTGTTAGGCGTGTCCCGTAGCGCTATAGGGACATAAGAAAGGAAAGAAAAAAAAACAATAAAGTTGGTGATAGATTAGTTGTGTTCTTTTCTTTTTCTACTCTCTTCTCTTTTTTTTTTTTCTTCTTGTTGTATTCTCTCTTTCTTGTCTGATCATTTTTACGGGGGTCTGCGTGTTATTAGTTTTTTTTTTTTTTTTATCATACTGGGTGCATTTGCTTTTATTTTGCTTTATAGCCGGAACGGGAACGGAACGGAATGGACTGGGGCCAGATCTAGAGGCGGGGCCAGATCTAGAGGCGGGGCGCGGGGCGGGGCGGAACTATTTTAAACACTGACTATCTCCTCTTTACCTATCTCTATCTCTCTCTTTTCTTACATCTCTGTCTCTCTCTTGGTTGGTCGGTCTGTGCAAACGAAGGCGTATCCCGTTGTGAGGTTGGTTGGTTGGCGTCGTTAGGATGGGCAGGAAATGAAAGATGAGGTTTTATCAGTAGCATTGGTTCAACTGTGGGAACCTGGCTGTGGAACGTTGCGAATAATATGGTTCTACGAGACATAGTTGCTCGAGAATGGCCTCCTTGTATAAGCATACTTCGTCCTGGCTTATAATCACAAGCAGGAAGAGCGAGAAAGCACTTACCTGTGTATGTGCACTGTAAAAAATTCAAATGTGTGCTTTTGTATTCTCGTATTTGCACAGGCCGGGAGTCTGATAGTGGCTCTGAATATCATGCTGTTATTATCACTGCAGTCTGTTTACTAAATCTCGAGATTGTTGTAGTACCTTTTCGCCCGGGGAGCAGTAGTCTCGTGCGGCGGCGTACTGGATTTTTAAGCCCAGAATGGGCTCTATCGAGAGGCTCTACCTTCATGATGTTAGTATATACAGAAAAAAAACCCGCTCGGGTTTCTGAAGAGGTTCGGGATTTTAGTACCTACGTACCATATCTGTGGTATCACAGTTCGTCTTATATCCCGACACCCCCGAGTTTAGTTGTACATATGATATGTGCGTACTGAACCTCCCCAGCTTATACATGGCGAGCCGTATATCGTCGGTGCTCGGCCGTTATAGGGGTTAAGACGGATTGCTAGCTATAGCTAGATGATGATGGGCGGATGGCCATGGGTCATGCAGCGTCAAGGCCACTTGTTTGGATACTGGCAGCCGGGAAAGAGGACTGCTCCGGGCTTTTTTTTTTTTTTTTTGTTTAATTCATTAATTGCATGGACTGCTCCGGGCCCACAGTATATAATATTCTCACCAGAATCCAGTTAATATTTATGGTCCTTTCTGGCATGCCCAAAACCACAGTGATGAAAGTAAATCCGGGGATAGGGAACTATTCCGTTTTTGATTAGTGAAACAAAAAAAAAATTCTGTTTTTGATATTGGGTCATGGGATATCACTCGCTGTCCTATTTTCTGAATAATAGGTAGAGGTCGGGCATGTGTACAGTCCGCTCGTTTCAAAGGGCAGATTTTGTGGGAAAACTCGATATGTAGATAATAGGATGGATGGATGGTACTATTACGAAGGAGGATGAAAGCCTCTCTATTTATACAGATAAAAGATAACACGTCCAGTTAAGCTAGACCGTGGACACCGTTGAAGACCACCTTACAGGTGTGGTCGCACTCCCACCACACTGCATGTAGCTTTTAGAACCCCTTTAGGGAGGGGAGTCATGTTCTCATGGTAACTGCTTGGAAAGAAAGGTTCGTTGTCCAGCCTAGGCCACCTTTTCTACGAGGAAAACCTCAATATCGTTTGCCGTTACTTGGTGCTTGGAGGTCAAACAGCGGCATGATGATACGTTTGGATTCACTACTCCAAGCGGATGATGACCAAAACAGCTGGCAAATACTACTACTCAGTTATCACAATACATATACTCTTTAGCTCAAATCTCTACCAAGGGTGTGTGATCGATGTCGTTGGTGCCAAATCGATCACATGGAACGTATCGTTGTTTTGGGGGAGGGATGGTGGAATGAGTGTGGAGAAACTTGCAGATCAAAAGACTTACGCAGTTGGAACTGCTAGAGATATATATCTGATCTAGTCCCCTATATATATAGAGGCTGTTGGGTCCTTTTCGGGCCATCGGGTGGTGCGCCCTTCTCTCTGAAACCCTAACTATCTGTTAACGTTCTCAAAACGGAAAGCACACGGCCTACTTTAGAAAATTTATTCTACAGTAGGAAAATGGCATTTCCTACTGGACAGTAGTTAGCGATCCCGTATTCCAAGTTTCCGCGGCGAATAGTGGCTGTAAATAAAAAGAACAAAAGGTAGGATTAATAGTACGTCAAGCCATATCTACTACCCCCACCCCTGGGCTAAACCCTAGACCTTCTACAATCGAAGGCAAGGCACAACCTCTCGGTGTCCGTCTGGAAGGCGAGTGATAACCGTTGGGGCCACTCGCCTGTGTGTTATTGGCCGGAAATAATACATGCACGGCAGAGTTTACAGGGCAGTGCCTTGCTATTTCGTCTACCAATTCCCCGTCTCCAACTTCAGTCCTTACTTGAAGCGGCCCGTTGGTATAATACCAACCCTTACCCCATTACCAGCACGCTAGCTTGGCGTAGAGAAGAACAAAACTACCGCAACTCCCCCCCCCCCACGACTCCCCGCTACCGTGGCCACTAATTCTATCAAATTCATGATAGCACCTATATCAAAGAATATGTTTCTCTCGAGCTTGTCTTGACAAAAATTCTAATAAAAATGTCAAGCGGGAAAAATGCTGCATCATGGGACATCACTCGACTCCAATATCTCTTGGCAAAGTGACAACTCTTATGTAGCATTCTAATAAGCGAGATGTAATCCTAGTTAATAAAAAAATCCTTCCTTTTTGAAGATCGGTTTAGAACCCCCGGCATTTGCTCCTACTAAGCATATGGGTGTGAGGAGCCCAGTCAAACAGAGTTGGTTAGGCCTATAAGCCTCCGAGGGCTGTTGAGGTAGATGATGGGCTTTGAGACCCTTTTTGGAAAAAAGATTCGGGTTATATGTGATCTATAACTTTCAACCCTTTATAGTATACACTTCCCAAAGGTAACCATGTGGTCTGAAGAGTCCTCGGGAAGTCCGCGTGATGAAAGCTTGAAGAGTCTCCTATTGGGAGAGAAGTGTTCTTGGGACACAATCCACATTGACATCTAGCTGCAACTACCTTTTCTGCAAGATATATTTCGAGAATGAGATAACATTATAAAAAGCATAATGAAACGCGGCCCAATTAATTTTAGTTGTTAGGTCGATATGTACTATTTCAATCCCGGATGTCATCGTCGTCGCGAAAACCACCCAATTTTTACCACCTCATAATCCCGACTCCCCAAATGCTGCCCCAACCCTAAAGACCTACCGACAACCCGATTCTTTGTGTACCTTATATGACTTATATGAGATGAAATAAAACGAAGGAATCGTATTTCGATCTTAATTGTGCCGGTCAATTAGCGAATATTCTCGGGTTGGTTCGCCGGTAGGTGAACGTTTCGCATTTCTGGGTGCGGGAATCTTTATCGGTAGGTAGACCATAGGTTTCTATCACCGAGTCTTTGGGACCGGCAGGGTCAGGGATGATAGGCTCTAGCGTGATAGATTAGCCGGTTCGGAACGTGAAAGACTATGACCACTGTTTGTCTTATTAATTATCTGTTAACAGACAGTTTTCATTGAATCAATTCTGGGCCTCATACGCATTGACTCGGTGCCCAATGCTCTTGTATTTATCCGGCTACGAACTGGGCTTGTCTACAGCTATCTCATGATCTTTATAACTAAGGTGGAAGCTTTCGCAATCTCAACTATAGAACGGTCTTCCATAAGTATATTTCACAATAGATATAAGAGATTTCTTATTTTTCGAATAAGAATTGCGTGGCGCGCTTGAGTGATAAGTGGTGACCGCCGTGGACGCTTTTTCAGAACCTTGTTAAGCTTGAGTAAGTGTGTAAACTACAGTGACAAAGAATACTTCTTCTAGTGAATGATGTGCACCACTTTTTCATTGGCAATCTTTTCAATAGAAGCTGCTAGACTGCCCACTCATGTCCGAGCCACCTGAGTACGGCCTTATTCCCCAGCCATACGTTTCTGTGTTTGTGTATAAAAAACCGCCGATAGGGCGTAAACCAAACATCAAAACGATACGCAATAGCTATAGGCGGGGCCCCACGGAGATAAATTGGCAAATAGAGTCTTGTTCAGTCAATCAGCGTTAAATGACTTGAAAAGGCCGGACATACACCAGACTAACCCAACGTCAAATATTGACAAGGTCTTGTAATATACCTGCATGTAGAGTCCTCGAAGTTTTTTATTTCTCACTTGAGCATGGCTGCATAGTAGAGAATGGGTTGTGTCAGAAGAAGCTTGCGGTCAATCCGATACCGTCGAAGGGAAGCGGCGGTCAGTTGTATTCGTTACATGTAATTACTTGTAACTGTAAGGTGGTCTTGGTAATGGTATCCACAGCCTAGCTTAACTAGACGTGTCATCTTTATATGATCCTTCTTCGTAGCAGAACCATCCATCCCACTACCTATTGATAAACTGAGTCTTCCCACATTAACTCATTGAGAATCTAACTCTAACGCCCTATCGTGCTATGTATCTGTGACATTACGACATACTATTTATAGCAGCCCGCTCTCTCCTATACTTCGATCCAACCCACAATCTTTCTATATAGAAACCCGTTGGGTCAACAGTACCCAAGCAATGGAACTCCATAGGTGTATCATGGGCTACTAAGTACCGTCTGTTCTCCGTGCGAAGCCAGTTCTAGCCTGGCCCGAATCTACATATTTCTGCACTTCCACTACTAACATAAACGGAAACGCCCGCCGAGACACCATATAATCTGGTATGGGTAAGCGTATCGATGCGCATCCGAAACAAAGATTACAGGGCGGTGGTCTTGGCACGACCGAATGACAGCTCATGAAGGGAAGGTCTCAAGCGCGCGCATGATACCGCAAGACCATGCGACCGTGTTTCCCGGCATGCATAAGATGCGGTGGTTATTTGATCCCGGCCTCCGAAAGCCGACGAGCGGTCTTTGGTGCTGCTCTGTTGGGTTTCAAGCAGGCGGGGGCGGTAATGGTGGTTGGGTATCTACATCCCTCCCGAATGCATATGTCCGGTCCATGAAACACCTTGTGTCGGCAACGTGGGCCTGGAGGCGCGGGACTAGGATTGGTGCATCCTGGATTTATATTTGTCGGGTTTGCCGGGTTCTCCGTCGGCTCATGTGAAGGCGTGTTGATGGTCGAGCGACTTACGAGTTTCACGGCGATGCCTGTGTTGGGAAATGGGGGATATGGATGGATGGCGATGATGGTGATGATGATGATGACTCTACACCGGTAGCACCAGATGGCTCTCGAACTTTCAGCACTTGCAAGCTGACGCGAATGACGGCTACTCGGCGGTATGCGTACAGCGTGGGACGGGAAGTCTAAAAAAATGGTGAGAAGAGAAGAAAAGGGAAGAGAAGTGAATAAACCTTCCGTTTCGGCTGGTGATGAAACAGACTGCAGAACAGAAACAGAGGGAAAGGCGTCTTTTTTATACTTTGAGGTGCCTTATCTCTCAGCCAGGGCAGAAGGGGATCTCACAACAGCGTCGAATCTCTGCTCTGCTGTTGCTTCTGTGGCTATCCCACCATTATATATATTCTACTCGACTGACAGCACTCTACAGACTGCTATATAGCAGCCCGGGACTCGATATTTGAGTTTGGTCTGATGTCAGGCTACATGCGATGTGCTGAGGTCGAGGATGTAGCTAACACATACATCTTAATCTTAATCTTTAGATTGTGCCAGGATGTTGCATTTGGGGACAGCCATGTTTGCACCGCACTGCACATGAAAAAATCTGATCGATGATGCGTGCTGCCCGTGCAATGCTTGCTTCCCCGCGCCTTAGCGAAGAGTAAGAGCCGCATTCCTGGCCCGTGCGCTGCGGTCTGCCTATTTTTACTTGCACGACAGCGGATTTATCAACAGACCCTTTTTATCTCAACGTGTAGGTACTTGAGTACTCATCTCCAGGTTAACTGGTTGCACTCTCTGCATAAATAACGCCTGCTTTAATGGTGATTGACAACACATGCACACACAACCTCCCACCACCCATTGCTGCGAGTGATACATGGTGACGAGGACCGATTCTGTGACGCGGAAACTTAATTTAATCATCTGGAACGACATATTGTCGTAGCTGTGGGCTCGTTTTGAATTCTCTACCAACGAACAGGCGCGATAATACTCAACGGGGCGCGCGTCCCATAAGCTCCTACGATGTTGATTCGGAGATCCCATTTAAAGATCCGTTCGCGGGGACTGGCCCGGGGAGAGAGATAGATAGCTATAGAACAACATGTCATAAGTAGAAATAGACGCAAGCACGCAAAAAAGATTTTGCAAAAAAAAAAAAGAAAGAGAATTCTGTCCCATAAACGCCCTCAAGCCAGGAAAAAGAAAGCAAAAACTCCAATGGATGGTTGATCAGTGCTAGTCTGGCTTGCCTACAGCCTGAATTGAGAATTGGCTGGTCCAAGGAGAGACAGCATCGAACCCTCCACACGGGATCATCTAGAACATCCTAGCTAGCTACTGTAGCTATAGGGGAGGAACCACTCAAACGATATTTACTGCGATGAACGTCGGTATGCGCATTGCATGCTCTCTATCCACTCAAAAGCAAAAACAACGCTGTCTAGGGCAATTTCATTGGATCCCTCTCCCCTCCAGCCCGTTGGGTTAGCGCTGAGCTTTTTGCTTGAGCATTAGCTACGTATGCGATGTGCAGGGCTGTACTCTACTCGTATTTCTCTGACGTTTGTGGACGCGACTGATATTGCATGCCATACAAAAATACGCCAAGCTCATGATTTTGGGTGTATGCAATAATGGCCCAGTTCAAAAACGTCAAAGAAATACTAGTAGTAGTGGGCTGGTTGGTAGGGTGCCTACAGCTACCTACAGGGCAGAGTACGAATTAACTACTCCACATCTCATCATCATACTGCGTAGAAATCGAGTCCACACAGTTGTTTTGTTATTGTTATTGTTGTTGACTGTTGATTGTTTTGTTGTTTTTGTCTTTTTGTTGTGCATGTCATGTGCGTTCGTGATGTGATGTGATGTGATGTGATGTGATGTGATGGGAGGTGTCTTTTTAAGCTTTGGCTCTGTTTCGGAAGACCTCATCCGAATTAACGTCAAGTGAAGAGCTGTTTTAAAGGATGCTTTTTTCACTCTCTCATAGTAGTTAGAGAGGGAGTACTGACTACATACTTCGAATAGGTATGTTTCTCTCCTCCCATTACCTACCTTACCTTAAAAGTCACGGATAAAATAAACAAGAAACTTTTTTCTTCCTCTTCTTCTTCCGGGGTCGGGGTCACACAGAGCAGAGGTGTGTGGGGGGGGGGGGGGGGAACACGAAATACACACGCTGCTGCTGCTGGTTGTACCGTATATCGACATTATTAGATGTCGCATGGGGAAAAGGTGTGGCCAGTTCCCCTCCCACCAATGATATTTGCGCCGTACGCGGAAAGGACCAAGGCGCGGGGGTGGGAAAAAGTAGGCATGCATGATATTTGGGTCCAATGGAGACTGTCTGCGGCACTGCATCGTTTTTTATATACAGAGATGGCTGACTCGAAAAATGCTAACTAGTAGCCAAATCAATTTCTACCTAGGCCTTCTGTTTTTTCTTTCACGATTTCCGTTTTCCTTATCATTGGTACCGGCGCCGAGGGTCACAGACATCTCTCTACTCAGCTCTTGCTAGATAGAGTACTTATGTGCCTGCCCCCTCTGTCTTAAGACGGAACAGGGCGAATCATCACCGCCAGAGGCATTTCCATTGTTTATTATTGTTCCTTCCCTGGATGTCAGCACTGATTCTAGAGCACGCCCTCACCAAAAACCTCTACGTAGGTACCTCATGCAATCCCAGGTGAACAGTAGTTTGTTCAATCCTGGCTTGTCAGCATCTGAAAAGACCTCACTGTAGAAACACTCCTCTACTAGCTAGGTAGGCAAAAGATGTAGGTACCTAAGGCAAGGGAGGTACCATAAGGAACGCACTTTACCTAGCTGTAGAGAACAAACACAACAATAGGCAGTAGTAAGTAGCACTGCCCGCTCTCTCTCATGAGCAGAATAGTTAGCTAGGCAGGTGAGGTAAACCCGCTCCGCCTGCCCTGTCCCACATACACCCGTTTCGATCGTCGCGGTAGAGGGCATCCCAATATCGCTCTCCACCCCCTCTGCTGCTGCTGCTTCCGCTTTCAATTAACCCCCTTGCCCTCACTCCTCTCCCCCTCCCTCTTATCTGACCTCCCTGCTACTCGTACTCCTACTGATAGCGGCTGTCTCTTTTTGTACGCCGCATCTGGTTTGGTTCGTTTATGCTTTCTTGCTTTCCCTTTCTCCTCACTCTCTCACTCCTCCCTACCGTCCCCTCCCCTCCCCTCCCCTCCCCTCCCCTCCCCTCCGCCCCTCCTCCCTTCCTCCTACTCCTTCCTCCCTTTTTTTTGTTTTGATTTTGGTTCTTTTTTTCTTTCCTTGGGAGTTGCTCGTGTTGGGTTTACTTTGCACCACGCATTTCTTATCAGCTGCGCTGCCGCATTTCCAAGGTTGTGTCTGTCGCGTCCCTGGTCCTGCGATCCGTTATTACGGGTTCTTTGCACTTGCCCTCACTCGGTTGCTACCTGTGTGTGTGTGCAGCTTGTCAATAACAACGCGCGCGTTTGGCCCTTCTCCTACTATATAGCTACATAGCTCAAGTCAGGTCTATATCAGCTACAAACACCCTCCTCCTCCTCCCGCGACTGTCCTTCAAATTCAGTCTCCCCTGTCTTTTTTTTTTTTTTTTTTAAAAAAAAACTTCAATTCTCGCTCCAGCGCTTTTTTTTTATATCAACGAAGCCTACGTCTTTTTTTTCTCTCTCGTGTGTCGGGGTGTCTTTGCCTCAACGACATCTGTTTTTGTTCTCTTATTTCTCCTTCTTGCGACAAACTATATATCCAGGTTTGCTTTTTTCCTTTGGGGGTTTCAATTTTCTTTTAGACTTTTTGGGGTTTTCAAAAAGGGTTCTCGCGAAACGAAAAAAACGAAAAACGGCAACGATATACCCCCCCAGACTAGCTATTTACAGCTTGATATGAACGTTTTGAAACGATTCCTTTGATACGACTTGTTTTAACGACTTTACGAGAAATACCATACCCACCCCTACGGAGCACGTCAAATCTAGGATATAATCAATAAATTGCCTGTCTCCGGCGTTGTAATATTCACGACAGCTTGGACCTTCTGGAACCTGTTTCTGCCTTTTACCTGCTTGGTTTACTCGGGGGGGTATATCTTCCAATTGATCGTTACCATAAGAGCAGCTTTAGCACATTCAAAAAAACCTGCAGTTAAAAAATGTTGTTTGGGGAAAGGTTGTCCCGTCCTTCGAGACCAATGGAGTCCTCGCCGGCCTTACCAGTGATTGATAGAGCATATCTCGCCCCACCATCGTCAGAAGACTTCGACGCAGAGGACTGCCCATCAACACCTCCCGCCCAACTCTTGTCACCCCAGCCTCGAACACCAAGGCCAACAAGATTCCTCTCACCGCCTCGGACACCACTGGCAAAATTATTCACCAACTTTCCCACTGCAGTCCGTCCCTTTAAAAAGAATGACTCAAATAATAAAGAATTGGAAGATATCACACGTCCGGAGTCGTCATGCTCAAATTACTCTTCATCGTCTGATTCGTCCTTTGACAGCTTGACAACCTTCACGACTACTGGTGGCAGCTGCACTAGTCCAGAGACCGAGTCTAGTTTCTTTCCGGACGAGGCAACTCCAAAGGAGCACAATAATGCTAGAAAGACAGGCGAGACGGGTGATAAGAGAAAGTCCAATGCAAAATCGCGCTTGAGGAAAACCAAATGGACTGAAGATATGGATGGCCATCTTTGGAGGACATATGTACTATGTCAGCAAGATCCAAAAACTACACCATTTTTTGTGCTTCCTGGCCAGGTTCCGCCATTGGGTGTATGCCATAAAGTTGCCAGGGAAGCCAAAAGATCTTGGAAGGAGGCAAAGATGGGAGATGGGTGGAAGGGCCCATTAACAAGACAGAAAAGATTCATCACCCCAGCAAAGGACACGGGTGCCAGTGGTAATAGAGGCGATGTCTTGCGGAAAACCTCACCGCACTCTTGGCCGGCTTCGGAAGGCTCAACCCGAAAAAGACTCCGAGAGTTGTGTAGACAGAATTATGGACCATCCCGTAATCCTCATCATGGCTATCACCAGCAGCGTCGGCCTACGTCGACGTCAAGAATTTTACCATCGAGAGGATCTACCGTGTCCCCCTCACCGTATCAACCGACCGTATCAAACAGATTAGGCCCACGTGACGCATTGTTTTCAACTCGGGGAATCGCTCTCTCTTTAACGACGAGTACGGCTTCAACGATGAATCCAAACGGTGTCTTGGCAGCTATTGCCGCTGGTTACGATGTTGATGCGGATATGACGATTGGCTCGAGGAGTTCTGGCGATAATTTCGGAGGTATTTCTGGGTGGGTTTCCGGAGTAAATAATAATGATCAAGGCGCTTTGGGTTTTGGAGCTGGAAGTTTTGTAAATATGGGGCCCCAGTTAGGATCTGGAGGTTCTAGATTCAACGTGGCACAGAACAATACGTCGCTCGCGAGTGCGTTGGGTGTTTCGGGCACCGACCCATCACTTTCACCACCGAATGGATCCTCATTTAATACGCCTGTTCTTTTGCCCCCGCTGGAGCTAAGTATCTCTGCATCTGTGTATGGTACATGGCCTCGACGACAAAAGCGTCAAGAGGAACCAGAATCAAGCGATGAATCGGTAACGTTGCCGCCTCCGAGAAGGGCCAGGCGAGGAACCATTGGCGATCTCTTTGGTGAGCCAGTTCCTGTGTCGACGGCACCGCGAACACGTACCAGGGGTTATACTATTGGTTCGAGTTGTGGAAATAGCATGAGTCGAAGAAGATATCGCCCACTGGCCCCGCTTCTGACTGTCACTGGGCCGGTCTCATACGATTCTCCCAACGATAACGAGAGCTTGAGTCCTCTTGCTTCTCGAGAGATGCTTTCTGATCCATTCCGTGATTCACTAGAGGGCACTAGGAATTTGGGATCACCTTTTGTTGAACGGAAAGATTGGAAAGGAAAGAAATTTGACGGGCCTGACGAGCTCTCATCTACTCTCGGCGATGAAGATCTCCCCCATGGCAGGTTTTATGATAATCCAGAGGTCGGTTCTTTGTTCAGGCCGGTAAAGAGAGCCCGGGAGTAGGAATTAAAGACCCCCCAAACATTGCTGTTGTAATTTCGAAGGAATAATTGCACGTTTGACCAGCGAAGGAAGGTCATGGCTGCCGGTTAGCCTATAACTCGGTCCCACTCGATTTGGTTCTGAGGCATCATTAGTAATTTTCTTTTTATCTTTTTATTCTCTTCACTTTCGCTTTTCCACTTAACATTTTTTCCCCCTTCAGTACTGTCGTTGGTCGTTAATGATTCTGCTCCTGTCACAATTTTGTTTCGTTTCGGTCTTTCGTGTTGTTTTTTCGAGTCCATGATCTGCTCCGTACAACTTAATCTCATGGGTTTGTTCAGAGGAAGGCTGGGTTTTCTAGAGAGGATCTGTAATAATGTCCAGCAGTGTAAGAACAGGAGAACGAAAGTTGTATTATCCAAATTTCTGTACTAAATAGTTGTGGAAAATTCATGAATAAACGCTGGTTAGCGCCTTTTGTCGAGCAAGATGGTGCGGATATACATGTGTTTCTCTCGTAGTTAATATTTCGGCCTAGGTATTTGCGGGAGGATGAAGGAGGGAAAGGTAGTAAGATTGGAAGGAAATTTCTGCTAACCCTGGTAAGGCCACTCACGTGTGCACTTTGGATGGGGTGTTGTAGATATCAATCGATAATGGTTTTCTAAGGGAAAAGGAAAAATCCCTCAGCTTGCCTAAGGTATGTATATGGGTTTTGTTGAGTCTCCCTTAGATACTGTATTTTTTTTGGGGGAAAAAAGAGTAGCTAAATAAGCACATAGAAGCCTCAATTGGTTTGATAGAGCATAATCTTAGTGAAATAAAGAACGGGGCGTATGGCAGGACCTTATACTAGGTCCTGGTGTTCTGTATCTAAGTAGGGACTCGACGTTATTTTGAATAATTGAGTTTGAGCTAGGTAAACATGTATATATGTAAATTCTAGATTTACGATCTTAATTAGATGAAATAAGTGTACAAAATAGCTGCAAAAGACTTTAAAATCAGGAGTGTTCAATATCCCGCTGTTGACCCAACAACAGAAGGATTCTGATATGTCCCCACAAAACATCAAACGCCCGGCCCCCCAGAGTCTAAAAAGAAGATAGATTTCCAACCAATTACAAACATCAAAAAAAAAAAAAAAAAAAAAAAAAAAAAAAATCCAATTTCAACATATTGCATGCTAGTAGAGAGATCTACGCCTCCCACCATCGATGATCACAACTGGTTGTGAAGTTCTGTAGGTTGAAGTGTGTGAAGTGTGTGAAGTGCGAGGAGAGTGAGTGTGATAGACATGACGCACTCGGGTTGTGGAGCCTGGATGGCTTGAGGCATAGCTTCTTCGAGCCGGGTATTCTCGTCCTATTGATCCATCCCGATAAACGTGAACCTCCCGTGTCGGGATACGCTCATCCTCATCTCGGTTGCTGATCAAACACATAATGTAGACAGGAACTTGCAGAGCCTTGGTTACAGAGTGAAGGCCTGGATGATAATGAGGCCACAGTAGAGGCTGGCACCAAAAACAACGAGATATAGGGTTTTTCCTAACAGGGAGAGAGGTGGGTTTGTATGTTGTAAATATAGAGGAGTCCTGGCAGGAAATATGATGATGATCGGGGCTGGGAGTCAGATGTTTCGTGATAGGTTGGTTTATAAGGAGTGCAAGTAAAAGTAGATAGGAGGAATTGCCATCAGTATTTATACAAACACTAGCAAAACTCGAAAGTGAAGCATTTGACTCTTGCTTTACGCGCATCTCGATTCGCAGTTACACAGAGACCAGATGGATGGTGAATGTAAAAACCGGGCATAATTTAATAAGGACGTCATAAACGCCGAACCCCTGCTCAATTATACATACCAGAACCAAAGTAGAGTAGGTATAAGTGCTTGGGAACGACCGGGGGTCCTAACGATTTATCTTGGGTAGGGTCATTACGATTTTGATGGGTCCACAGGGTCTTCGACCGGTCAGAATGTAGGTCGTATCAATGCCAAGAAAGGCGGTGCTACTAGAAAAAATACAGACCTTTCTCAAGTTGATGATACGACCCCGGGGGAGAATACGACCTAGGTCATTACCTTTTACGACTGATGGGTCCTCGACCCAGTCCTAATACTGACCGGTCGTGGGTCATTACCAACACTGCCTGGGTGCATACATGTACATAATTCGTTTGCTTAACTAATGACGTCGTAATTACTTGCTTTGTAAAAAGCTCTGACTGCTTGTAGATGTAGCTAGGTATATGCATACTTTACAGCCGAGGATTACATCCTATAGTAGCCCTTTCAGCTTACTTTATTAAATGCAGGATGAGTTTACAAAGGGTGCATATGCGCATACAATCATGCACTGCTGAAAGTGAACAGTTACAAGTTAACCGTCAATAGATTTAGCCCGGTAAGCATTGTATTGTATTTTGTTTCATATACCAACACTACATGTATATATTGCATACATATTTGTACATTTACTTGGTGTTGGGGGTCATTTTCAGTCCTATAAAGGCCGAAATACATACTTACACCGTTTATTAGCACTTAACATGAAATAAGAAAAATCTTTTGCAGTTGGATGTATTGTCTAAGAAATATACGTATTGTAATTGTGGCTGTTGACTTTTGCAATTAATAAGTATATGTATCTAACTAAAGTAGGAGTTGTAGACTAGCCAACCACCAACTTAGAAATTCCAACTACTATTAACAGGCTAGTAAGATTATTAATCAACGCATAGAGCTAATGCGGTATTAGTATTATTCCAACTCAGGTAATAAACGCTTTATTCTGCGGTAAGATCATTGACACTAGAAAACTTAGTCATTGACACATGTACCCGGGGGTGCTGGAAAGTGATACAACGTTTGACCTAGCAACGCGGAAAGGCACTCAGGATTTCAATTTTTAACACAACACAATGCTTGAACAAAATAAAAATTTTAGTCATATGCATGATACAGGAGTCTCTAGAATAGAGTCTGCACTTTTTTTCAGGTCCTTGACTTGGAGTATTTAGCCTGCAAAAGAACAACTTGTAACAAGAGACAGTAATAAAAGGAGAAGCAATGGCTATTCATATTTCCTCTTACCATAACTAGTATCTCCAGCTTCTAAATTACCATAGGTTCGCTCCAGATTCTGTTAGCTAGTTTGGTTGTTGAGGAATATGGACTATTTGATCGTTGCATCACTTTCCGGCACCCCCGGGTACAATCTGATTATGGCCCCGGATCTGATATTAAGCCAAAAGCTACATGTTAGTACATGTAGAGTAGGTAGATATCGTAGGTACATATACGTACATGTAGGTGTCAAAAAGTACTAGTAGCCCCAGACAGCGCGTGCTATTTGAGCATTTATGCAATTTTCCATCCATCCATGGCTAGCCAGATATGTGGTACTCAATCAGTCGTAGTAGACAAGATACGGATGCATATGGGTCGGAGCCACTAGAGTTAATTTGACATTTGGTTGGTTGCTCACTAAATGTCTGTCAAATTTCTAAGGTTTCCGGCTCTGGCTCCTGTGAATGACAGATCTCAAATACAATTTTTAAAAAGACCTAAATCCCAACTCGTAGATACTTTTTCATCTACCTCAGACCTAATGACGTACATAGAAACTTGATACCGCGGAAAATTATACGACTATGGAGCTCTTAAAAAGCTTGAGCCAAAGCCATTTTTCTAATGACCTGATTAGTGTTGGCCCTATCTTAAACTATATAATTGAACTATCCTCTCGATCATTAAGTTGGATGCCAAAAATGTAGAGGCCGCGATACTTCAAAGTGTTGGGAACAAGGTGATTAGACACAGCTATCGTCGAATGTTTTAATTTGGAATAAGGGATAGGTCGTGAAAAGCTATTTATATCTATTGTTCCTGGTATTACAAACTCGATATCCGACTACATGTAGTTTAAAGTATCATGGGACCGAGGGCTCAAGGGACATGGGTGGTTGGTTGGCGAAAGGGTCAAGCGATGATTCGGTTCAGTATATAAGCTATTAATAAGGTTTGCGTACAAAAAGTAGTTTTTAGGGAAACCATCCTCCGAATCCTGAGATTATGTGTACATAAAAAGGCGTGAACGTCACCCAATATGAATATTGCCGAAAGAGTTTATTTACAAAAACCTGGGAATAGCTGTCTTTTCGGAGGATTTAAAATGTCTCTCGATATGTAATTATGCACCAGTCCACCCCTCTTGCCGCCGTTGGTTGTGATAATTCGAAACATCAGGCGCATATTGGTTTCGCGACCCTTGATATTGGTACGGATTGGTCTGGTAATCGTTGTGTGCATTTTGCTCCGTATTCCCGTGCCCACTCCAACCGGGTTGCATCTGTTGATGATAGCCCGAGGGCTCTTGATATGATATATTTTTTTGTTGCGGTATACCACCCTCTTGATGTCTTAAGCCTTGAAGGGTTGGGGGAACAGTTGAGTACACTGATGATTCAGAACCAATATTCGATGGATGTTGGATTTGGCTATCGTAACCATTCTGTTCATATCCCCGTACTGGTGTCGGATGTTGGAGGCTACTATTCGGGAAGCGAAGGTCTGCCGGTGGCTGATTATATCCGTACCCCTTCGAGTCCTGGGCATTGATAGGGCCCATCTCGTGCTCTTCTTTCACAGATATCTCGATACGTTGTGTCTTCTCAAGAGAGGGCATGACTGGTAGCGCGTCGTCGTTATGACTATCGAAATATGCGTATTGTGGAGGTTGGTGATAGGCAGGCTGTTGCACTATGATCGGGGGTGGCTGTAGTATCTCTCGATCAGGCTGGTTCTTTTGCTTCTCGCGGCGACCTCCACAGCCACCGCAACAGCAGGCACAACACCGATAACCGCAAAGGCAGCAGCGCAGAAAACACCACAAGATTGAGAAGACAATAAGGCCTCCAATAACACAGATAACGATGAAAGGTATTCTAGTTAAGATTAGTGATGTCCTTAATGCAGTACACATTATACTAGCAGGAACATAGCGGGGATACCGACTTGCAGATATTTTTTGACATGCCTTCTGAAGAATTAGCAGAATTCTTGATATATCAGAGAAATACAAGACCCGGTAACCCTTACAATTGTCAAATGAACTAAACGTTGACGGTAACGTGGAGACATCGCCGGCAATGTCACGACGCATCAAGCCCATTTTTGTAGATCTTGGTAGGTGATTATTTTAACAAAGGGTGAAGCACCTATAACCAGGCCTAGGAGGAAAGTAAGTTCAAGATAGTGCAGCATCGTGTAGGTAGCTTAACTGACTAGCTATAAAATATAGATTAAACGACTCCAGGTCGCGTCAGATCATAGATCAAATGAGAGATAGAAGAGTAACGCTGATGATGGATTTCCAGAAGGCTTGACCAGGGGGTGGGGTGATAAAATGAGTGTAAAGGATAAAATGAGTGTAAAGGTGGAGCGAAAAAGTATGCGATGGAAATAGAGAAACGCGTTGTGGTAAGTTGTAAAGCGCCTAAAATTTGGAAGTTGGAAATAAGAAAAGGAAACTTTGGATACTACGTGTAGCGTTTCTGTAGGTATTGCATATACTCTATAGGTACATGTAGGTACTCCACTGTAAGATTTCAGGAAGGGGAGCATCCGGGCCTGGCTGACGTGTGTGGTGGACGAGTTTATTCTTATTCAGGGGTACATAGGGCGGTTGGCACTCTACCGGCGACGCAACCTGCGCGTTAGGTCTATTGGCGGGGCAGATGGTCCTCATGAATCATGCAGGCGCTAGTTGACAAAAACCACCGAATCCGACCATACAATGATTTTCTGGACTCGTTGAAAAGAAAGCTCTACTATACACATACTGTTTTTCGAGGGCTGTAGTTTATAATTTATGTTGTCTAGGTCTGATTTTGAGTGGAGTTTCCTAACCGTAATAATCAGTTCTCTTTGTAGGATGACTGTATCTACCGCGCAGAGTACCGGGTGTTGAGGGTAAGTGATCAGCATCTGATAAGTGAATGTTGCGGTGAATATATTTGTCTCAACTCGCGATCGCGAGTTGTTGGTTTCTGAGTATTGAAAATATTGGAATATTGGAAGGTATTCGATGAGGTGGACTCCAAACCCCCCTCCACCCCCCGCTTCCACCTCCTCCAGGTCCCCCGCCTCTCTCCACCTCTTCCTGCTCTTCCAGCTGTTCCACTGCCAGTACATAATAGATATTTGCCCTGACATTTTATTTGAGGCATGGGTTTGCTATTCACCCAATTATAAAACCTCTCGTTGTACTCTACTGGTTTGCTTGCAGAGGTAAATCCTTAGAGCAATTGAGAGTACAGTCGCAACTCGATATGCCGGATCTCAATACGCCGGATCCCTTGCTATCCCGTACGAAATCCTCTGGGGTTTTGGTTTTTTTTACTGCAAGATCAATTTGCTATCCCGGATTTTTTGCCATCCCGTATGAAATCCTTCGAATCTTGGCAATCGAGTTGCGACTGTAGTTAGTGGAGCAATAAGAATAGAGCCTGGCGTGGTAGGATCTGAACCCATACATGTACATCCGTGTCTAGAAAATTCCCGGATCCCACTCCATAGCAACCAAACCGCAACCCACCGAATATTGAATGAAATATAAAAAAGCTACTATTTTGTGTGGCCCCCAATTTGCCTGATTCACCCTTGGCATACTATGAGCTCAAGGCGCATCAAAGGTCTCTTGGGGGAAAATATCCCCACTCCTCAATGGAAGCTCTCCATAACTCATCTATACTATGAGGCCTTCTCTACCTCTTGTGCTACCTTTTCCACAACTTAGATTTAAGCAAACCCCATGGGTTTCGTGGTGGTGTTTGGTCGTGGTTTGGTTGCTTTGGTGCGGGATCCGGGAATTTTCTAGACACGGGTGTACATGTATGTGCTCGTACTCGTATCACTTATTTAGTGACGCTTTTACACTATTGGACGTTACAGGCATACTTGTACCTGTAATACCTATTAGGTATATGTAGTAACCCTATGATAGGTCAGTTCCGGGTGTTGTGGCACATGAGGTACCCAGGGTGTAGTTTTGTGGCGCCCCCTGCTTAATTAAGTCGACTGGAGTATTTGCGTCTTGGCCTTCATCCATTGCAGCCAGACAGCTTCTAACGCCCTGGCTCTTCGTGCTCCAAAGTTATGCCACAACGCCATAAGCCGAGCGAAGATTTTCTGTTAGAAGACATTTCGCGTACTGGTAGTGAAACCAATTCTTCACGGCCCCATGATGTTCCTTTTTACACGGAAGAAAATCCGCCCTCAGGTGCAATTCTAAGGTTATATTTCTGCTCCATTCCATAACCATGCATCACAGCGACATACTGATTTGGCTCCTCCCAGTTATTGGAGACAACGACAGAAACTCTTCACCAGATATGATGAAGGCGTCTGGATGACTCATGATGCCTGGTACGAGGTTACTCCAGAAAAAGTTGCCGAGTAAGCTTTCTCATCTCTAGGTGTTCTAGAAATATGCTAAGCCCTTGAAATAGGAAGATTGCCCAACATATTTTCGAATCTGGAGCGGAGACTGTGATTGACGCCTTCTGCGGTGTGGGTGGCAATACAATACAGTTTGCCCTTTCGGCGTCGTGTAAGCGTGTCATTGCGATAGACAAAAACCCGACTGCTATACTATGTGCAAAGCACAATGCGCAAATATATGGAGTATCAGAAAAGATTGAATTTATTATAGGAGATTTCTTCGAACTCATCAGTACCCGAGGCTCAGAATTGAAATCCGATGCAGTCTTTTTATCTCCGCCTTGGGGAGGGCCAACATACAGGAACGATGAGATCTTCGATCTTGATACTATGGAGCCGTACGCCGGGTAGGTAAAGCCCACAAGCTAATTTCCCCCGCGCCCACACCGAAAAAAAACCGGCTGTTGATAATTGGATCTAGGTCATATATCATGGAACAAGCCTTGAACGTCTCCAGAAACATTGCATTATACATTCCACGAACATCTAATTTGAATCAGGTGGCGAAAATGGTACCTAAAGGCGAAAGAGTCCAAGCCATACATTATTGTATACAAAGAAGGAGCAAGGTCAGGCCCTTCATGATCATTTGGCGTTGTGTTCGTCGCTTCTATCCTTCTAACAGTTTCTATCAGGCATTGACCGTTTATTTTGGCAATTTATCAAACTTGGAGGTGAGCAAAGGTATATAGACGGGCTAGATGGAACTTTGAAGTAAAAATTTGAGCGGCTGTAGAATTGGAATAAGGTCTTGCATCTTGAATAAAATGACTTAAGTGTATGTATTCTCAAACATCAATAGCTACATATGTGTAACTGCGATGTGTATATACGAAGACGGGAGTACCTACATATTGTGGCCACTACAGTTGGATATATTCGTTCATGTACGTATTTCTACTTGTGTACAGTTTTCCTTTTCAATTTGTACTTGTAAATAGAATTAAAAAATTTACACTCCGTACTCTCAAGTAATAATGCGTACATGCACCTGCAAGTATATCAATATCGGGCCCTAAATACTTACCCGATCAATTCTCATTATCTTGAGTTGATTGTGGGGTAGTACTAAGTGTATGGCGCGCGCCGCTATAATTTATGAATTTTAATATATAGTAGGTATGTACCTGCAGCTGTCTAAAAAATGTGATATTGGATTTTTATTTGGGCCATCATGACGAACCCAAATGAGAATGGGGTTGTGGTCTGAATTCGCGACCTCTTACCATGTAGGTTGGCTCAAGTACTAACCCGTCCGTAAGGAATGATTGAGAAACGACTTTTGACGGAATATCAATCTACGTCCCATTTGCGTGATATAGGTACATGTAACACCTGACATTCGTATCAGGGCTCTCTGGTGTTTTGGATAACAATGTCGATCCCTCCCAGTACGTCTGCTACATGTAGTCTAGGCGATTGCATCCCAAGTTCCCAACAACGTAAATAATATGGAAGATGGGTAAGCTAGCCGGCATTATTCATCATCCGGCCAAATTGTTTCCCGTACTACCTCGACTAGTAGGAGAGATGTGGCCACAAATGTTTACTCTATATAGCATAAGCATGAAAGGACAGATATCAGCAAGGGTAGCTGCAAGTAAGGGAGTTTCAGCCGTGTGCCGTATGCCAAAAGACCACAGTATCCTTTGCTAGTTCAACCAATCATCTACGCAAATCGATTAATACCCTAACCCTGGGACTGAGCAACGCCGCCTGCCTTTGCATTCAAGAAGACCGTAGCTCCTCCTTGATCTCCAAACTTCTCATCTACATCTCTCTTCTCTCGCAACTCTTATACCATATCATTCACCCTAACTCTTAGTGCACCATTACCTCCTAGAACAACTTTCAATTCAAAAATGAAGCAGTTTAAAGAGCTTAGCTTTGCCGTGCTTTCGCTTTTGGCCGCTGTTTCTTACGCTGAAGATGTTGCCTCCGACGTCAAGGTATTGCAGAAAGATACATTTGACAGCTTTGTCAGCGACCACCCACTTGTTCTCGCTGAATGTAAGTCAATTCCCTTGTGTGAATTAGGCAGGACCACTGCGATGGTAGCCGATTTCAAGTGTCCCTTTACTCACATATAATGGATAGTTTATGCTCCGTGGTGCGGACACTGCAAGGCCCTTGCTCCAGAGTATGAGGATGCGGCTACGAAGCTAAAGGAGAAAGACATTCACCTTGCCAAAATTGAGTAAGCTATATTCTGTAATTCTGCCAAAGACATTGTACTTACAAAGTTGTAGCTGCACCGAGGAAACCGAGCTTTGCGAGAGATACGGTGTACAGGGATATCCCACAATCAAGGTTTTCCGCGGGCTTGAGAACAACTCTCCATACAGCGGCCAGAGGAAGTCTGATTCGTAAGTGAAAATCTATTTGACAAATTCTAGGCTATTACTGACATGAGGTGTTAGAATTGTCTCTTACATGGTCAAACAATCCCTTCCTGCGGTTTCACTCTTGGATAAAGATTCAATTGCCGAGTTCAAGACAGCCGATAAGGTTGTGCTTGTTGGTTATTTCAACGCCGATGATAAGGAGTCCAACACTACCTTTACCGCTGTGGCCGAGTCACTCCGTGACTCTTTCCTCTTTGGTGCCACATCTGATGCTGCCCTTGCGGAAGCCGATGGCGTTACTGCCCCTGCCATCGTTCTCTACAAGTCATTTGATGAAGGAAAGGACGTCTTTGACGGAAAGTTTGATGCTACTGAGATCACCACTTTCGTCAATACTGCCTCTACTCCCTTGATTGGTGAAGTTGGCCCTGAAACCTACTCAGGATATATGGCTGCTGGACTCCCTCTTGCGTATATTTTCGTTGATAGCGAAGAGAGCAAGGAAAAGCTTCTTGCTGCAATTAGGCCTACTGCTACCGAATATAAGGGAAAGATCAACTTCGCCACAATTGATGCTGTGGCATTCGGTGCGCACGCCGCCAATCTCAACCTCGAGAGCAAATGGCCTGCCTTCGCCATCCAAGACACCGGCAAGAACCTCAAGTTTTCTTTCGACCAAGAGACAGAAATTACTGAGAAATCTATTGCAAAATTCGTTAAGGACTACGTTGAGGGGAAGATTGCTCCCAGTATCAAATCAGAACCTGTACCTGAAACTCAGGAGGGACCTGTCCACGTTATTGTCGCCAACAACTTTGAAGACCTTGTAATGAACAACGATAAGGACGTTCTCGTCGAATTTTACGCCCCGTGGTGTGGTCACTGCAAGAACTTGGCACCCAAGTACGAAGAGTTGGCTAAACTTTACTTCGATAATCCGGAGTATGCTAGTAAAGTGATTGTGGCGAAGGTCGACGCTACCGCCAATGATGTCCCAGTTGATATCCAGGGCTTCCCAACCATCAAACTCTACTCATCAGGTGCCAAGGATTCACCCGTTGACTATGCTGGCTCTAGAACCGTTGAAGATCTTGCGAACTTCATTAAAGCCAATGGCGCTCATAAGGTTGATGCTTACGTTGCACCACCACCAGAACCGGAAGTGGTCGAGGAGGAGTCTACGGAGCAAGATGCTGCCGAGAGTCTCGGCGAGGCGGCCGCAGCGGCTACCGACAAGGTCAAGGAAGCTGTTAAAGATGCTAGCCAAGCTGTTATTCCCGATACTGATGAGGTTCGTTAAGCCCTCCCTTATCAAGTTGTTATACTAATCATATCTGTCTTTGCAGGATCTTGATCACGATGAATTGTAAACTCAAATAAATGGCTTGAAAGAAAGAAAAAAAATTATAAACTGGCAATCTTAAGTTGAAGTCTGTGATTGATGTGTGATCTACTGGGGTTTGGGTAATGACTACCGTGAATGGGAAACGGCTGGGTTGGTCGGGATTGCGTCTTTTTATTCTTCATTGCTTTGTTGTGGTTAACTTTCTCCTTATTCTCTTTCGTACCGATTTGCATATCTGTATTTTACAATGACTCAAAAGTTCATGATCGGTGACAATTCACACTTAACGCATCCTATACTCGATCTTTTCTCGGTTGATCCTAAATGTTAATTCCACAAGTTCCCTCCTGCCTGCTCTAAGGTACTTGTAATCCTGAGAGTACTTATAAACCGACTTGTAGCATAGCCCTGCTGTACCGGGTGTTGAGGGTAAGTGATCAGAATCTGATAGGTGAATGTTACGGTGAATAGGTGTATTTGTCTTATCAGAATCTGATAGGTGAATGTTACGGTGAATAGGTGTATTTGTCTTATCAGATTCTGATCACTTTTCGCTACACCCTAGTACACTCCTAGTCTGCGTTACCCAATTTATCCACCCACCTTGGCATCACGTGAAACTTCAGATCCGGCAGGTATCGATAAACGACACTTGTTCACTTAGCATCACGCATCCGTTCCATTTCAACACAGAGAGTATCATCGTGATAGATGTCGTGGCTAAAAAAATTTCTCCCCATAGTTGAGGACCGTCCGCGCGGTCCTGGAAACGGCTTCGGTTTTCAGGTCTTGAGAAATATCAGCCCACAGTTGGAAGTAGAACCATGGTTTGATTTTGTCTGCGGAATAAATGGTCGACAAATTGTAAGTATCCGTTATCCTACCAAATACAGTCGATACTAACCTCATCTTTCGTTGTAGGAGGATGGAAATCATATACTATTCACACAAGAGATACGGAACTGTGCTGGTCGGGACGTCACCTTAATAGTGTGGTCTGCCAAGGTATATTCAATGGCTACTGCTACCTTAACACAATTTTGGTAACAAATTTCCAGGGACAACGACTACGAGATATTATGATAGCCTTACCACCAGATGCGACTGGTCTTGGACTTACACTGCAATGGTGTCCGCTTACTGTTACGGAGGATGTTTGGCATATATTGGACGTCGCACCTAATTCACCTGCAGACCATGCAGGTCTCCTCCCATATGGGGATTATATTATCGGAACCCCTGAGGGAATCGTCCGTGGCGAATCGGGGTTGGGGGAGCTGGTGGAAGATGTTAGTCCAATGTTTTTCAACCGTGTCCGTAGTACTAATAGATATAAAACAAACAGCACATTGACCGACCCCTTCGCCTCTACGTCTACAACCACGAATATGATATTACTCGTGAATTAACAATAACGCCTCGACGTAACTGGGGTGGGGAGGGTGCTCTAGGATGTGTGCTCGGATTTGGTGCTCTCCACAGACTTCCTGCTCCATTAACTGAGCCCCCCCAGGCTCCAGGTGAAACCCTTTTTGATTACACAGCTCCGGATCAGAGTGGTCTCAATCAATTCCCACCTACGGAGCCAGCTTTCATCATACCTGCCGCTTCTCAATACTCCGCACCGTCTCAAAGCCCATTCCAAGCGCTATCCCCATCTCCCCACTATACAAACTTACAGCAGTTGTCTTCCCCACCCCCGCCTGCAAAGGGGACATCGCGGCATAAATATCGTCATGGACACCCTATGAATAGCTCAGCTATGGATGCATATATGAAGGAAGAGGAGCAAAAAAGTTTAGAGCACGACTTCCCTAGCAGGACAGGGTCGCCCGCCGTAGCCGGGGGCGGAAGCTTACCCCCACCGCCTAGGAGCTCTCTACCACCACCGCCCCGACGTACTCAGACACCGCTAGTTAATACATATTCACCTGTCCCCAATTCGGGCCAAGCTTACACCGGTGGTGGTGGTGACGATATTGATTAAGGCCGATAATTATATCCTGGGTAACCTCTTGAGGCGAATTTCTAGTAGTGGAGGGATTTGGCGTTTGACTTGGGAGATTCTTCTTATTTTCTTGTATTGCATGATACTAAAGATATGACCGAGGAGCTTTGCCTCAAGATATTATCTTGGATTCCCTTGAGGCGTACTGTAGGTTTAATGTACTACTGGTGCATGCGTACATGCAATAATATTGGTGCAGAAAAGGCTAAAGGTTCAATGTAGTCCAGTGCCGGATTCAGTAGTCTGGGAGAATCTTTGGATTTGTCTATAATGGGGTTAGATTTCTCTGAAACCAATGTTATTATTAAGGTGCATAAATCTTATCCCTTTGTAAGAACAAACGAATCTGGTTTGGCTTTACTAGTGGATCTCGTAGATCTTCCATACAAATTTAATTCCTCTATTATATCTATTATAGGATGACATATTGGCAGACGAGGGGTAGTAGACTGCGAAGTTTTATAAACATGACTACTACCTGTGTGTTCAGGCGGCCTGCAAAAGGATTACACTTATCACCAACCGTCACCACTGTCAGAACGAAGAGCACAAACATTTGGGTAATACAGACAAAACACTTTGTCAAATACATTTATAGCTATATATCCACACACTGCATATAAAATCCCCTTACTGCTTGTTTCTTTGAATATTCGTACCCGTACTCAGTAGTTGAATAAGGAACACTGATTCACGTGGGCGCCGATCTCTCGACCTTTGGGTATCATACTCAAACTGTGGTGTATTAATAACAGTCACAATCTTAACTCACTATCTATCACAAAACTCTCTGGACATGAGTGGGAATTCGAACCTTATGTCAAGTGCCAGTAGATAAGTGTAAGTATGAGTCGAGAATCGATGTCTCCCTATGGTTGATTGTCAACCCCCTGCATCCCTTCGTTTGCGCCCACGATTCACATAGGGTAGAATAGCCGAGTTGATATTCGAATTACTAACTGCGGATATCCTCTAGGAGTGGAAAGAGGTTCGTGTGGGTTAGGTGTGCTAGAGGTAAAAGTCGTTGGAACAGGTTAAACACCTCTAATAGCATTGGGATACTACATGTATCTTTCTGACTAATCTGTTGTCTACATGCAATCGGTTGACGGTTAGAGTTAGCTTCTGAGCCAAAAATCGTCTAGTTAAAAAGTATCTCGCGTAAATTTATTTAGGACTTGTACTAAGGACGTGTGGCAGCGGTACAGGGGGTCAATCTATCTACCTAGTGTCTACCACTTCCTACCGCGTTTGGTGTCACATCACGAAACCTAGCGATATTCCTCAGACCACTCAACGAGAAAACCCAAGAATGTCGGGAAACATCAAGCGGAAAGCTACTGAATCTCCAGCAGTTATTACTAAAAAAGCTCGGGCGATAACTTCGTTCTTCGCACCGTTAGGAGCTGCATCGTCATCCGCGCCCGCCGATTCAGCCCCAAATGCTTCGACTTCAACTCGACCAAAATTTGATAAGGAGAGATGGGCCTCCAAACTTTCTGATGAACATAAGTCACTTCTTCAGCTTGAAATCAACACGATGGAGCAAAGCTGGTTTAGAGCTCTTAAGGATGAATTGATTACCCCCGAGTTTCTCTCTTTGAAACGTTTTCTCAGAAATGAAAAGGATGGCGGAAAAACTATATATCCCCCAGAAGAAGACATATATTCCTGGTATGCACAAAGTTTTATTCGCTGGAATTTTATGTCTGTGCCGTTAATCAATTGACTGACACAAAATATCTCACACGACAGGACTCGTTTTACTCCTATTGATCAGGTAAAGGTGGTGATTCTCGGCCAGGATCCCTATCGTATGCTCTCCGCTCCTTTTTGTACCCGTCCATATTGAAATCTAATATAGAGTATCGATAGATGGGCCGAATCAAGCGATGGGGTTGTCGTTTTCTGTACGACCCCCGACACCCGCACCACCATCCCTGAAAAACATATATATTGCGTTGAAGAGAGATTATCCGTCATTTGGGCCCCCTCCTAATAAAGGCGGGCTATTAACCCCTTGGGCCTATCAAGGTGTCCTCATGCTGAACGCCTGCTTGACCGTTCGGGCTTCGGATGCAAACTCACACTCTAATAAAGGATGGGAACCACTTACTCAGAAGGCGATTGATATCATCGCTCAAAGACGTAGTCAAGGCGTTGTATTCATGGCCTGGGGTGCACATGCTGCTAAAAGGGTCTTAAAAATTGATAAAGAAAAACACTTAGTACTGAATAGTGTTCACCCCAGTCCGTTGAGCGCTAGCAGAGGATTTGTAAGTAAACCATTTTACATACCCCTAAGCAGAAAAACATCTATAAAAGTACTAAGTTTCTTCCACTGTTTAGTTTGATTGTGGCCATTTTAAAAAGGCCAATGAGTGGATCATATCGCGATATGGTGTAGATAGTGAAGTAGACTGGAATCTCGATGGCACTAAACTGCCTAAGAAGATTGTTGCACCTCCCGACAGTACCAAGGACGAAGATGTCCCTTCTACTAAGGATTCCGTGGTGTTAGAGGACGGAGATAATGGAAGTTACGGCGATACCTTCGATACCGATGAAGAGGAGGCAATGGTACAAGCTCTCATGGAAATGGAGAAAAAATAATTGGATACAGCATGGGTTAAGAGACGTTCTGGTCGCTACAGTTTTAGTTTATATTCATGGGCCTGTGATGTGTGTAGTCCAATTTTTATTCCGTTATTCATACATGTAGGTTTGATTCTTCTGTTACCATTTTCGTTGTGTAATAATCTGTAGTCATCGTAACAAAGAGACAGATAAAGTATTTTATCCCACAAGGTCTATCACAAGAACCGGGAAAACTCTAACTGATAAACACGCTGGAGTTACCAGAAGTCGAATCAAATATGTACGTAAGGCCAGATCATACATTCCTCAACTCAAGAAGGAATCCATGCAGTAGGGTCGCCTATACGTGTAACCTTTGAATGCATTCTTTTGTCTTATTTCTAAGAGCTCTTTCCCGTACTCTTTATCTCTAAGTAATAGATCCCTCGGTCTTTTGCTGGGATTTGGATTTGCGAAACCTTTGTCGGCCTTAGCGACACCCTGGTGATTATTCTCAGTGTCCTGTTTCTTCACTTGTGTATAGATACACTTGGGGTCGTTGAGAGAGGATCTGGTAGGTGTAAGCGCCTGGTTTTTATTAGTGAAATTTCGTTTAACCAAGTTTGTACTTGTGTATGCTCACCCATTGACTTGTTGGTACCCGACTAGTTTCAATCTCTGTCATGCATGTACTTGACAAGTGACATTCAGAGAAATATTTAGTATCTTCACCGTTTTGCAACCCTTCTGGTATAAACGGCGGAACTTGTCTGTGTAATGTTTTCCAGTTGATAGGTGAAAAGAAGGGATGTGCCTTAATATCATCGGAATCGTTTGGAAAAACGAAATGCGGTGAATTACTTAGACGCCGTCGAGTTACGCTTGAATAAGGCAATGCTTGAATATCGTTTTCCCAATATGTTGTCATACCAAGTCGACACTCCTTTTCACAGATAAGAGAAGAAATCAAACTTTCGACCTCAGGAGAAAGAGGAGGGTTTTTTTGCAGGTCTAAATTGCTGGACCACTTCTAATAATTTATAGCGTATGTATATTATGTTAGCCTACCGGTGAACTAAGTGGATAGTTTTCATGAAAAGAACGGAAATGAGGACGGACTAAGACGTTTGCCTTAATCTCATTTGAGTCGTCAGCATAGAAAGGAGTAAATCCAAAGAGACACTAATGGAAATAATTAAAGTTTTGGTTGCTTATCCTTGAGATGGGATGAGGGCAAACCTCATAGATTATTACTCCAAGGCTCCACCAATCACATCGACCATCATACTTCTGTCCTCGAAGAATTTCCGGCGCCTTTGTTTTAATTAACACTGAAAACCTCGTTAAATGAAAACTACTAACCATGTACCTATTGATTAAGCTATCAATATGGACATATCATATATATAGAGCAAACAGCGAGGTTAGAGCTTACTGGTATGTGCCCACGACACTATTGGCCATTCTCCGTTTGCATTTTTTGTTTCGCCAGCTCAGAATCCTTTCATTATCGGGAACCTCTCCCCATCTCCACGACCTTAAACGTTTGGTGATATCCTTGCCTTCTTTTCTATCGATACTATCCCCTTCGACACAAACCCCAGTTTTTCTTAATAATCCCCAGCGTTGGTGATCGAAATAGGCCGTGTCATGTGTCCAGTGTCCGGAAAATGCAAGACCAAAATCACAGATCTTGATATGACCAGACGAGGAAAAACAAAAATTGTCTTGAGAGATATAGTAAGTTAGAAAAATAAATTAGAATAAAGAAGAAGGGTCGACTAACCGGGCTTGATGTCCCTGTGAATATAAGAAAGTTTATGTGCTTCCTCAATACAAAGAATCATCTCTGCAACGTAAAATCTAGTTATTTCCTCGCTGAGGGTTACTTTCTCAATTAGTAAGCCTAAAAAATCCCCGCCGATCATGTATTCCATGGCAAGATACCTATTAGTATGTAAGCATCTTGCACCAAATTGAAAATATGTGGCACGATTAGTACAAATTATCATCGTCTTGAAAGCTAGCTATTAAGGGCACGACCCAGCGACTACCCTCACTAGCCACTAGAAAGTCTCTCTCTGCTCGTAGATGGCCTTCTTGCCCGTTTTTGAGGTGCTCAGCCTTCGGGATTACCTTCAAAGCAAATACTTGCTTTATGTCAGAAGTATCGAGTTCCCTGAGCTGAGTAGGCTGATTAAACTGCCTTGGCCTGGAGACAATACAAATATCATTGTAGTCGTGATCGAGTTCATATAAGTAATTAGTCTGAACGACAACACGTTCCTTCATTTTTGCAAGTTTAACACAGCCAAAGGCACCTCTACCAATGACCTTTATTATCTCAAAATCTGAAATCGTAACTTTATTTGTCCGAATATTCCTTAGATACTGGCTCTCCTTCCGCCTCCAGACTTCGCGGTAGTAAGACTTCTCATATACGGTAGAGGCCGATTCCTGGAGTCGACATTCCATAGCTCTTCGGCGCATTGATCTGATATTCGGATTCATCAAGATATTATTGAAATAGGTTTCCAGGTATATCTTCACATCTGATGTGATCTCTATAGTTTTTAATGATGGAGTGAATTTAGTGTTCAAAGGCATTTTAGGGATATCGGATAATTTGAAAATCGAATGTAGGTCAAAGTCAACTACCTTTGTCCGTAGTTTCGGCCGTCTGGTGACAGTGGGTGCGAGGAGATTGTGAGAAATACAGCACCGTGAAGACGGTCCACGGTAGTTGAGAAATGGATTAGAGCGTGAAGAATGAAGTGAATTATCTGGGGTCATTACTCCAGTAACATCACATAACAGTGATAGACGATACTGTGAAAGACCACTGGACAAGTGCTGTAGTTGCTTACTTCCTCTCAAATCGTGAAAAGAGTGCCGCCGGTATAATCTATATCCGTTATAAATCACATATCATTTAAATTGCAACCCCCGAGCTTACATTGTGTACGGCAATTGTTTAGGGGTTGTAGGTGGTGCATCGTCAGGCCTTTCTCGAGACTTTATTGCTTCATGAGGATTGGCAGATGAGCCTAGAAGATATAAGCTTCAAGAAAGGACGAGGTGATGAATATGTTTGGACCCACCCCCCACTTTGAAGAAATTTCGGATCGAAATGAATATTTTGCTAGATAGAGCCCTATCACTTCTTCTTTCGGGTGGATTTGATGGCGTAGATGGAGGGGAAAGGAAGTCGTTTGGTACGACTGAATTCGGTTTCTCGATCTCAGGGTAGGGGTTGTGGGATATCTCAAGGTCGTTAGACCTGAAAAAGGGACTCATTTTTATGTGCGCAAGAGCGGGTCAACAAAAGATAGATAATTGAGGTTAAAATGTGCGGAGTATTTATCCCCTTGCTGCAAAGGAGTGTATTGACCTTACTGAAGTACATATGTACGTATGGCTTCTGAGCCAATGGGGGTATTCCATACTAGGAACATGTGTCTTTAAAACCTGACATCGTATGCAATAGCGATTGTGACACAAGCGTCAATCCCATAGCCTGGTATGGTCCGCACTTGACTATGTGGGATGTTACTGCGCTAAATCCTCTATCAACGTTTATTGATCTAGTCAATCCATAGCTCATGAATGACTTGTTTCATGGATTATATATGGATGAGCCATCAGTACTCGCACGTCAATTATGTATTTGCCCAACCAGCAAAACACACCAAAAATCGAGGTTTTCAACAACCCATAAAAAGCCCCACACCTAAACCAAAATATCAACGACCAAGTATAGTATAATTTTGATAAAGGAGGTCCATGTTTCAAATTCTTGACCCAATTGAGATACTGGTAAAGGTGCCATAAAAGGACCCTTTTAGACACATTTCACCTTCAGGACTTGTTCTTGGTAGATATGGCCTAAAAGTGGCCTGTAGAGTCTTTCAGGTGTCTAGATAGAAGACACATAATTTCAGGGGAGACTCGGATGGGAAAGCTCTCTGGATTCTGTGTATGTTTTCCTGGTCATGGTTACGCAAATATATACTTGATATGCGAGTATTGGAATGGGAATATCAATGAAAATCCACTGGTACCACGCGTCCTTCCCCCACCATGCGTAGATTGGGAGTGGGGTGCATATAACCTGGAAAGCTCAAATGATTGTGCCCAGAGGAATCAGAGGAGATTATCGTCGCTAATTGGGCCCTTCGTTATCAAATAATTTAGTGAGCGACATCCGAATCATGAGTTCTCAACACACTACTAAGCTTTTCGAAAAGAATGTTCTTAACCAGCTTTACCCAATATAGGAAAAACTACCAGTAGGCTGGCTAGGCCTCGAATCCAGCCTTCTATGTTCGAAAGAAAACCAATTTTTCAAAAAACGGAAAGAATTTTTTAATAAGTTTACATGAAGGTAATACAAATACGTTCGGCACAAAGACCAAACGGCGTTTTTAAGATCAGTACCTTACAAAAAGACTTTGAAACTGAGTTTTCACCCTTGTAAACGCCATTTTGACTGTTGCCGGATGGGCCCTGAGTTAACCATATCCAGATTGTTTTCATAAGTGAGTGAAAGTTTCAACTGTCTGGTGTATGAGTACACACAGGGTTACATGCTGAGAGTTATTGATAGAAGCCAGTTGCGCAGTGACATGCAAGTGTCCGCAGTGTGGTTAGCTACCAGCTGTCAGAGTAACTACATTTTGAGCACTAGGAAGAGGATCTACATCAGCAAAAAATGACATGTCATCTTGGGGCACCTGGGCGCCCGAAATGCCCCAGATGCCCCAGATGCCCCAAGACTTTTGCTTACCTGTAGACCGACGCCTGAGCGCCACTCGATGACCGCCCTGCGTCTTTCCGTCAAAAGACGTACCCAAGACACACATCACGTCTTTTCGCTCCAAGACGTCGTCTCGACGTCTCATGACGAGTTTGCCCTCTGCCAACTGAAGTTGTAATTTCTATCAATATATTTGTATATTGACCAACCAAGGTCATCTGATCACGTCTTACGACCAATTGATTATGAATCGTCGCTCCCTTCTGTCTTTAACCTGTGTATTTTGAACATCACACAACGTCATTTGCCCATAAAATCTGGCCGTTTGACCATTGCATACTTCGTTCTTTCTCGTCATTTGCCCATAAAAACTCATCCTCTGATCATTGCACTTTGTTCTTTCTCGTTGGTTGCCCATAAAAACTCATCGACCATTGCATACTTCGTTCTTTCTCGTCATTTGCCCATAAAAACTCATCCTCTGATCATTGCACTTTGTTCTTTCTCGTTGGTTGCCCATAAAAACTCATCGACCATTGCATACTTCGTTCTTTCTCGTCATTTGCCCATAAAAACTCATCCTCTGATCATTGCACTTTGTTCTTTCTCGTTGGTTGCCCATAAAAACTCATCCTCTTACCATTGCACTTTGTTCTTTTAGGATTACATCTCGTCGATTGCCCATAGAATCTCATCCCCCATCTCTGTTTCTACTGGCGGTATTGTTTAGTGTAGAAGAATGTTTATCAAACTACATGTACTACTCAGGCTATTCTCTTTTGGTATTTCATTCTAGCGTCCCTTGTTCTTGCGCGGTCTACCCCTCCGTCTTACGCCCACTTCTCCTTGCCCCTTTTCTCCAACACCCTCCGTCATACTGACAGTAGGTCTCTCTATGGTGTCTTCAATAATTACATCATTATCACTATTCCTCTCCATAGCTTCATTCACTTGTTCTTCCGTGTCGTATATGTAGTCTTCATACCTGGGTCAAACGACCCTACCGCTACCATCCTCCCCATAATCGTCATCAAATGGCTGGTTATCTGGCTCCTCGAACTCCGAATCGTCATTAGTTTCCGTACTGAGCTTCGCTCGGAGACCGGCCAAAACGCTTCCTACTCCAGGGTCAATAATTGCCCCCTTGCTCTCCGCTGCGGTAATGCTGCAGCACTGAGTTCTCTTGATCTGCTTCAAGAGTTCATGTCGAATCCCGTCTAGCACTAGATTTGATATCTCCTCATCGGGGAAGGACTTCCTCCGTGTGTGAATGTGTGTCTCAAAAATCACTAGTCTGTACGTTAGTAAGTTATGCCCGTCAATAACCTGGGTAGAAGAAGGACGGAGTGCTCACCGCCGCAATAATCCTTATTGAAGACACCATTCTTCCAGTTGCTGGCTCCAATTACGTGGACACTCAGTGCTTGGTATAGTATAGTAGAAACCAGGCAGATAAAAGACGGGTTGATACAACTCTCGCATTCCGGATAGTTGACGCCAATCTCACGATTGGTCTTACAGTAGGCGTAGACGATAAACCGCGGTATTTGAGGTGCGGCGAAGTGCCATTGAGCGGGCTACAGATGTTAGTACCAAACCTCGCCTTCTGCATCAATAGTAGATATACATCGTAATGATCGGGATGACAATTAAACAGGTTATCTGTCAGGAGGTAATCGACACGGGCTTTTGCTAGCTCACCAGTCATGCCGGCTAGGCCGTAATATGACGCAATTACCCCCTTTGCCTTCTCCATCATGTGTGAATAAGCCCGTTGGTGGTAGTATCTCACTTGCCCGGCGACGACGGTCGACAACTTCGCTGGAAAGTCGGTTCCCACCCTGGAAAAATCCTACGAATTTCTGACCATGGATGCCAACTCTAATACCGATGGCATTGGGTGTAACAGAGCCACAGTAGGGCTGTTACAAAAAGTACCTCTTCTACCAGTCAAGCCATACGACCCTAGGGTAATCACCGCTTGTTCATCATCGATGGGTGAAGACAAGGGCAGATGACCCCTACCTCTATTGGTATGAAGGGTAGGGATCCTGGCGAGCAAGAAGTCTTATAAGTCAAGCTAGGCGACTGGACCAAAACTAGAGCATAAGGACAAGCATGCCAAATAAAAGAAGGGTAACCCCAAACATAAGTTACCCTACGTTGGAAGTCAACCTTTGAGGCGCAATAACTTAGCAACCGATGCTCGGAAAATATACTTTACCACGTCAGAAAGGATCCTGACGATGCTCCGGTCCATTTGGGGTGGTTGAATGAACGGATTGCGGAGTTGAGGAAACACTGCAAAATAAACACGTTTTAGACCCCAAAAATAACCCCCGGAGCGTCGAACCGCTGGAACACTCCTGTTTCAGCCCGGTGCACCTTTGCGGGGGGAGTAGGAGTACGACTCAAGCTACTAAAAGCAAACCTCGCTTTACAAAACACCAAATCTATTCTAAAATAAATTGAATAAGCAATTGCTATCTGGTCGGTTGTTTCCGCTAGTTCTTAATCGGATCCCGACCAGCTCTTGGCAGAGGTTGCGTGATTTGACTCGGGCGGAAGTTCGTCCGAGGTGTGGCAGCGACTCCCCTCGCCCCTCATAGGAAAAAGTCGCGGTGTCCCCAGACTAGGGAGGGCCTAGAGAAGAAAAGCGGGAAAAAAGGGGCGGAGCTTCGATAAAAGTACTCGGTTGTCCCCTAGTTTGAACTCGGGGAGTCATGGAATCTTTACTAGCGAGGAGACCCCTTAAAGTTATTAAGTTTCTAGACTACAAATACGATCAAACAAATAAACTCCATCTTTCGATCGAACGAGCCCAATGATAACCCATCGTTCCCCGTTCACCATTTTCATTTCGATCGAAGTCATGGTCGTGCCCCATCCTAGTACCCCCGTTACATTGGGTTAGTGAATAGTGTCTCTTTGGTCACTTGCCAATCAGCTTTTCCGATTAGAGTCCTGAACTCAACGTCGAATTGACCGAAGTTACGATTTCGGAGAGGTTTGGTCTTGTTGGGTTCGGTAGAGTCTAGCAACGTTGATGTATTTTGGGACGACCGCTCTCCAGAAGACCCTCCGTCACTGCCACTAGGAGAACCTGTACAGCTGATGACTTCAGGGAAGGAAGCCCTAATCAACAATGGTCTAGAAAACTGTGGGTCTTGACTGGCTTCGGAATGGATTCTCGCTGACGATGGTCTCACACTCTCGAAGCTTTGATGCCCGGAGGATTCGTAAAAAAGGTCAGGGGACTGGTTCGCACCCGTCTCTCTATTCCGTGCAGCCGACGGTAACGTATCCCTCGAAGATGACTGTAACGGTGCCATTTCAACTGTCTGGTGTATGAGTACACACAGGGCCCGGTTACATGCTGAGAGTTATTGATAGAAGCCAGTTGCGCAGTGACATGCAAGTACCGGCAGTGTGGTTAGCTACCAGCTGTCAGAGTAACTACATTCTGAGCGCTAGGACGAGGATCCATTCATGGGAGTAATGACTGATAAGTCTATGCCTCGCCAATGATTAGAAGGCCGGCCAGAGTGATGCTCTGACTGCTCGGCGATACTCTACATCCTCCGAGCATGATAAGTCCGCCCGTAGTGGCAGGGACTATGCCTGGGAAAGTCTACAATAAGTGAAGAGCTCTACAGCAATGATTAAGCTTACGCCTGAGCGGTAGCTCATTCATGCAGGTCCCGGTTGTGCGACAACCAAGACTGCAGGTGTTACAAAGGCTTTGACTAAGGGTGGTTGCCTTTGGAACAGGAAGCACCCGCTAATGCTTAGAGAGAAGCGGGGTAGTGGTGGTATTGCTTCCCTTCCGCTAGGAGGCATCACCGGAACTTAGTAAGGAAGTAGGAGTAGCGGAACGGAATATTTTGGAGTATAAGTACTCAGGATCCTTCCCGCCAAACTTTCCGATTTACCCAGTCTTCATCAGCACTATCAAGTATTTTACTCGGTAGCAGAGCCCTTAAAGATCATTGAGTTTTAAACGAAAGAATCTTTGAATAATTTAAACCTGATTTCTATCTTGCACGGCCACATCTTTCTATCTGATTCTAGCGATGTGTGGAAAGACTGTCCCCGTTACAGATAAACTTTAGCGCTCAAAGTCACCTTCAGATTATTCTTCCTCTTACAACATGTCCACTCTCCCGGCTACCCAAGTGCCTCTTCAGATTGAATGGCAACCGGCAGCCCTAGAGTTTCAAGAGTGTCAGACACAGTGTAACGGCAATATTACATGTTGGCTAGGATGATAGATTGGATTGTGAAAAGAAGGTATTGCGCAGTTGAACTAGGATTTGTAATGGGTTTTCTGTTATGTTCTTTTGGTTTCCATTACGCGGGGTATGAGTCATCAATGGACTAGGAGCTGGATATATAAAGGGGTGTTGTCTCGTGCCTTTTCATGTTTTCCTTTCTTTCCTCTTTTCTTCACGCAACTTCTTGTATTTACCCTCGCAACACCAAAACTTTCGAACAACAATAACTTTTGGCCTGCATTCCCGATAAAACTTTTACTCGAACACGATCCTGTATGTCAATAGACCGCGTAATCTATTGGTATCTTATCGCACATCTGTTCGTACACGAAGTTATTCACGCTCTAGTCCCTCAGTTGTGAACTCCCACCTCTTCAAAACCCTCGCTTAAGCCTCGCGACCGCTGCGAAAACAACAATCAACCTGGCCTCTCCAGACCCAACCAACCCACCAAACTTTGCGGGCAGGAAGAGAACTCTATCAGAAGTCTTTCCCAACCCAATCCGATCCGGAACATCAGTGATGTCCCAGCAAGCCTCGTTGAGCTCCTGGTTCGCCGGGGCCCCCCCACCAGGAACCCCGGCACCCCCTCGCTTTCCCGACACCCAATCGACCCAACAAACACAGTCCACCATAGTAGAACAGACCCAACTCGGCAACGAACCTTTTTCCATCTTCGCCGAACATACCCAATACAACGAACCATACGCCCCAAAATATGATTATATCCACCCTAGCATCGTCCCTGAAGAAACCCACGCCAGAATGGACTTGAACTACATCTCTTGCGTAGTTAGAAATGCTCTCACCGTAGCACTCGAATCCCTCAACCAAACGACCGAACAAATCAACAGGGACCTAAAAGCCACCATTGAAGTCCTATCCACCCAAAACGATTCCCTCAAACACACCGTCGACATCCTGGACAAACAAATGTTCGAAATGACAAAAAACCAGGACAAAACATCGGAAAAACTCCACCGCCTCCAACAACAGCTCACCAACCTCTCTGTCAACAGGCCCAGCATTCAAGCAATCAATGAAGGAAGAACTGGTGCAATCGCCGCCGTCGCTGCTGCCACCATCACCGCCCCCACCACACCTGCCAACAACCCCAACCACCCCAACCATGCCCAACAGCCAAAAGGGAAAGCCAAGGAAACACTGGCTCCACCGGCACCAAAATCCTATACGTCCGCCGCGGCAGGAAACACAAACCCCGAATTCACGACTGTCACGAACAAGAGGAAAAGCAAACCCAAAGCAGACCCCCTGTTCAAACCTGAAATCACCAAACTGAACCGGGAAATAGTAATCGAAACAAACAAAGAACTCGCAGCCACCCCATCGGACATCAGAGCCAAAATAAACGCAAAAATCCAGGACCCCGACTGTCAACTTATCGCCGCCCGGAAAACAACAAAGAACAACATCATTCTGGAATCAAAGTTCGCAACCCCAGCAACAAAAGTCCTTGAATACAAAAAGGAAATCGAAAATGCCTTGAACGAACTAAAGGTATCCTTCGTCGACATTCGAATTAACTCTAGATGGTCAAAATTCATCCTACATGGCATCCCCACCTCTATAGGCGAAGCCTTCGACACAGGACAATGTCTAGCATCGGAAATCAGAAACAATTACGGCAACACTTTCGAGCTGGCGCAAATCCCGAGATGGCTATCAAAACCAGAAGCCCGAATCGGAAAGTCACACTCCTCCATGATCATTGCCCTCCCTGGACAATTCACCAAAGAAAACCTCGGCCTCCGATACCTCACCCTCTTTGACAGGAACTGCAAAATCGACAGTTACCTCCCAGCAAACCCAGAGACCCAGTGCGCCAAATGCCTTGAATAAGGCCATAGGCAGGAACGCTGCTCCAACAGCGGAAGATGCGGACACTGTGCTGAGGAACACCAAACCAAAGACCACCCATGTACAGAATGCGCCGGAGGGCTCAGATGCTCACACACACCCATCCGATGCTACCACTGCAAGGCCCCCCACAAAGCAACAGACGCCAACTGCCCAGAACCAACTAAAGTCCGAATCACAAACAGACTCGGATCAGACACAAACCCAAGCCCGCTACCAATTCCCGTAGTTATCCCGGCCCAAGACCCACCACAGGAAGATGCAGCCATGGATAACACCCAATGAGTCACATCAAAAGAACCACGGCTATCGCACAGCAACTGAACTGTGCGAAAAACGAGCTCACAACAAAGTCAGTAGTGGAGGAAGCAGAACAGGACCACAACATACTTTTTCTTTTGTTACAGGAACCATGGAACAACAAGGACGGCCACCCACCGGAATCCCCCCTTTTCTATCTATTCACAGCCAGCAACAAGGGCACCAAAGCCGCTACATACATCAGAAAACACGCCAATCTAAAACCAAAACACCATTACACGCACAACAACTTCATCGTCTCCGTCACGGTGGAAATCCAGAACCAAAAGACATAAATCCTCAACATATACTCACCAGGACGAAGCGGACCCTTCACAGAAATCTCCCGCCAGATAAACACCATCCAAAACTGCCTCGTCATGGGAGACTTCAATAGCCACCACCAACTCTGGTATGGACACAGATCCCACGACTACACCAATACAATCAGAGCGGACAAATCTGGATCCAAGAAGCTCAAAAGATGGATCGATCGACAAAAGCTATCCCTACTCAACGAACCGGGCTAATTCACACACTTCCCCAGAAACAACAACAGACCAACCATCATCGACCTGACCCTGATCAAAGGACCAATCCTGGACACTGACGTCCGCTGGAATAACGCCCGCCATGGCGCAGGCTCCGATCACGGGAAAACCATAGTACAATTACGGATAGAAAAACCCCCCCACATACCCAGAAGACTACGGCACCGAACGAACTGGGAAAAACTGGAAGAAAACATCTCAGGCCTCCAATTCCCCCCCGAGGCGTGGGAATCCCAGGGGCATACAAAGCAATCAGTCGACTTCATACTTGAACACATAGACAACCTAATAGACCAAGTCACCCCATGGAGCCAAGGACACATCAAATCCAAAAAATGGTGGACCCCGGAGTTGAAGAAGCTCAAAACAACCCTCAACACAGCGGAAAGGAAAGCCAGGAAAACCCAAAAAGACGAGGACAGAGAAAAATTCAGGAAAACAAGCAGGAAATGGACATCACTGATTCGCAAAGCCAAAGCAGAACAAAGGGAGAAGGAACTTGCGGAGGCCAGAGGAAGCACCATCTGGAAGCTAGTCAATGCAGGAAGAAGAAGGGATGTTACAATTCCAACCATACAAGGTGAAGAAACGTTTGCGGGGAAGTGCCAAGCTCTAAGAGCTCAACTCTTCCCCACAAATTGGACGTCCCCCAACAACCCCCCACTCCAAATTAGACCCCCATCCTTTGATCTTAGTGACACTTTCCAGGAAGTTACACCAGAGGAAATCATATCCGCAATCAAATCATGCCCAACACACTCGGCCACCGGCCCCGACGGCATCCCATACCCATTCATCCAGGCTACGATCAAAGCAAACATCCAACTATTTCAAGATATGTTCACAGCCATGCTCCGCTACGGAGTCCAACCAGACCGATGGAAAGTGGCAAAATGTGTACCAATCCCAAAACCAGGAAAACCCGACTACTCATCGGCCAAAGCCTACCGACCAATTTCCCTATTGCAATGCTTCAGCGAGGTATTGGAAAAAATAGTGGCAACAAGACTATGCACAGCCGGATCCATCCTGGAGACACTTACCAAAGACCAATTCGGAGGCAGACCAACAATCTCAGCGATCGATGCCCTACTCCGCACCCTCACACCCAGTCAACAAAACCTCCTAATCAAACGAATCACAGGAACTACCCCAGACAGACCAGCCCTCCTCACAAATGATATACAAGGAGCCTTCAACTGCGTGGACCACCTCTTACTCGCAGAAATCATGACCCAACAAAAATTCCCGGCATACCTAACCAACTGGTGCAAGGAATTCAACACCAACCGAACCCTCCAATTCCAGTTCAATCATGAACTGGAAACCCAACAACCATACAACTCAGGACTGCCCCAAGGATCCCCCTTATCCCCAGTTCTATTCATGATATACGCAGGAGTCATAACAGACCCCAGCAACTCCAACAAAGAACTCAACATTACCTATATCGATGATGACGCGCTCGTCCAAATCGCAAAGACACCTCTCTACGCCACTAAAAGGCTAAACGAAAGAATGGCTGAAAGGGTAAAAAAGGCAACACCCCTTAACATCAAATATGAACCACAGAAATCCGATCTCATCTTCTTCAAACCCACAACATCGAAACTCCCCACACCAAAACAACCAGTCATAATCGCAAATGAGGAAATCTACCCCAAAGACAGCCTCAAATATGTTGGAATATGGCTAGACTCAAACCTCTCCTTCCGACCACACATCGAAGAAACCATTGCCAAAGGCCTCCGAGTACTAGGGCAAATCAGGAATATAGCATACCTCCCCGGATCAACAGTTAAAACCATACACCATCTTGTCGTCCAAGGCCTCCTCCCTACAATCCTATGGGGATCAGAAGCATGGTGGACAGGAGCGGACCACGTTCTAAGATCACTCCAACCACTATACAACCAAGCAGCCAGGGTCATAACCGGCCTGCCCCGCTGGATAAAAACTGCAAAACTACTCAAAGAGGCAGCACTCCCACCATTGGAACAACTCCTCACCCATAAGACACGTAAATACGGCACTCGGATTCTTTGCTATCTGGCTGACCACACCCTCAACGAAGAACTCATCCAACTCCTCCCCAGCAAGATAAAGAACACCAAAGGCACGGGACTCCACCGAGTCACAACACTCATGCTTCCCTTCCAGGAACCAGGAAACCACAGAGAAAGATGGATACAAAACGATCTCATCACCAAGCGCATGCTGGAGGAATGGAATTCCACCCCAATCACCAACTACCATGAACCAGGAGCCCTCAAAGTCAACCCCAAACGAGCAAAACTCCCAATCTCCAAGGCCAAACTGATACACCGCATACGATGTCAGGTCACCAGACGAGACAGACATGCAGCATACACAGAACCTGAGCCCTGCCAATGCGGCTCAGAACAATCTTCCAAACACACCATAATCGAATGCCCCCGATGGACACAAATCCGGAGGCCATTGATGGATAAAATCCCGGGATCACCTACCTGGGAGAACTGGCTCTTCACAAACCTAAACATAGACCTTATACTACAACTCGCAGCTAAAACAAACCTACTGGACTGGTACGAGATGGACGAGGAGGAGGAGGACCCGGAGGATTAATAAAGGTTTTCCTACTTTCCTGTATTCATTTTTCGTATCTCCTTACTCGATTCTTTTTCCTTTGTCTTTCGTTTTGTCTTTTCTTTTGTCTGTTGCGGAGCTTGGTGGCGTGCGATAAGTCTTGTACTTCAAAGCAATATAAATTACCTATCTATCTATCTTGTATCTACCCTCGCAACACCAAAACTTTCGAACAACAAAAACTTTTGGCCTGCATTCTCGATAAAACTTTTACTCGAACACGATCCAGTATGTCAGTAGACCGCGTAATCTATTGGTATCTTATCACACATCTGTTCATACGTGTAACAGGGCCACAGTAGGGCTGTTACAAAAATACCTGTTCTACCAGTCAAGCCATACGGCCCTAGGTTAACCGCAGCTGGTTCTTCATCGATGGGTGAAGACAAGGGCAGATGAGCCCTTACCTCTATTGGTATAGGGGGTAGAGATCCTGGCGAGCAAGAAGTCTTACAAGTCAAGCTAGACGACTGGACCAAAACTAGAGCAGCAGGACGAGCAGGCCAAATAAGGAAGGGTAACCCCAAACATAAGTTACCCTACCTTGGCATTCAACCTTTGAGGCACAATAACTTTGCAACCGATGCCCGGAAAATATGCTTTACCACGTCAGAAAGGATCCTGGCGATGCTCCGGTCCATTTGGGGTGGTTGAATGAACGCATTGCGGAGTTGAGGAAACACTGCAAAATAAACACGTTTTAGACCCCCAAAAATAACCCCCGGAGCGTCGAACCACCGGAACCCTCCTGTTTCAGCCCGGTGCATCTTTGGGGGGAGTAAGAGTGCGACCCAAACTACCAAAGCAAACCTTTGCTTTAAAAAAACACCCAAATCTATTCTAAATACTCTGAATAAGCAATTGCTGTCTGGTCGGCTGTTTCCTCTAGTTCCTAGAATCCCGACCCTTTCTTGGCAAGGATTGCGAGATTTGACTCGGACGAAAATTCGTCCGCGGTGTGGTAGCAACTCTTCTCCTCCCCCCTGATAGAAAATAGGCGGTGCCCCCAGATTATTTGAAAGGCGGGACGGCCAGTGAAAAAAGGAAAGAGGGAATGAAGGAAGGGGCGCCGAACTTCCATAAAGGAACTCGGTTGCCCCAGCTTGGTCTCGGGGGATCAGCGAGTCTTTACCAGCGAGGAGCCCCCTTAAAGTTATTAAGTTTCTAGACTACAAATAACGATCAAACAAATGAAACTCTATCTTTCCATCGAACGAGCCGAAAGGATAGCTTGTCGTAATCCTTTCTGCCTATCTACCTGATCGAAGTCACGGTCGCGCCCTTTCAAGGCACCCCCGTTACAATACGCGAAGTTATTCTCGCTCTAGTTCCTGAGTTGTGCACCCTCACCTCCTCAAAACCCTCGCCTAAGCCTCGCGACCGCAGCGAAAAAAAAAAAACAACAACCTGGTCTCACCAAACCCACCCAATCCACCAAACATTGTGGGAAGAAATCGAACCTTATCAGAAGTCTTTCCCAACCCAACCCGAACTGGAACATCAGTAATGTCCCAACTAGCCTCCCTGAGCTCCTGGTTTACAGGAGCCCCCCCCACCAGGAACACTGGCACCCCCCGCTTCCCTGACACCCAATCAACTCAACAAACACAGTCCACCACAGTGGAACAAACCCAACTCGGCAATGAACCTTTCTCTATCTTTGCTGAACACACCCAATACAATGAGCCGTACGCACAAAAATACGACTACATCCACCCCAGCATCGTCCCTGATGAAACCCACGCCAGAATGGACCTAAACTACGTATCCTGGGTAGTTAGAAACGCCCTCACCATAGCGCTCGAACCCATCAACCAAACAACTGAGCAAATCAACAAGGGCTTAAAAGCTACCATCGAAGTCCTATCCATCCAAAACGAATCTCTCAAACACACCGTCGACATCCTGGCCAAACAAATGTTTGAGATGACAAAGAACCAGGACAAAACCTCCGAAAACCTACACCGCCTCCAACAACAGCTCACCAACCTCTCTGTCAACAGGCCCAGCAACCAAGCAGTCACTGAAGGAAGAACCTCCGCAATTGCCGCCGTCACTGCTGCCACCATCACCGCCCCTACCACACCCGCCAACAACCCCAACCACCCCGACCACCCCCAACAGCCAAAAGGGAAAGCACTGACTCCACCGGCACCAAAATCCTATGCGTCCGCCGCGGCAGGAAACACGAATCTCGAATTTACGACCGTCACAAACAAGAAGAAAAACAAACCTAAAGCAGACCCCCTTTTCAAACCTGAAATTGTAACAGACCCACAGTAGGGCTGTTACAAAAGTACCTGTTCTACCAGTCAAGCCATACGACCCTAGGGTAATCACCGCTTGTTCTTCATCGATGGGTGAAGATAAGGGCAGATGACCCCTACCTCTACTGGTATGAAGGGTAGGGATCCTGGCGAGCAAGAAGCCTTATAAGTCAAGCTAGGCGACTGGACCAAAACTAGAGCATAAGGACGAGCATGCCAAATAAAAGAAGGGTAACCCCAAACATAAGTTACCCTACGTTGGAAGTCAACCTTTGAGGCGCAATAACTTAGCAACCGATGCTCGGAAAATATGCTTTAACACGTCAGAAAGGATCCTGACGATGCTCCGGTCCATTTGGGGTGGTTGAATGAACGGATTGCGGAGTTGAGGAAACACTGCAAAATAAACACGTTTTAGACCCCCAAAAATAACCCCCGGAGCGTCGAACCGCCGGAACCCTCCTGTTTCAGCCCGGTGCATCTTTGAGGGGGAGTAGGAGTACGACCCAAGCTATTAAAAGCAAACCTCGCTTTACAAAACACCAAATCTGTTCTAAAACAAACTGAATAAGCAATTGCTATCTGGTCGGTTGTTTCCGCTAGTTCTTAGGATCCCGACCAGCTCTTGGCAGAGATTGCGTGATTTGACTCGGGCGGAAGTTCGTCCGAGATGTGGCAGCAACTCCTCTCACCCCTCATAGAAAAAGGTCGCGGTGTCCCCGGACTAAGGAGGCAAGAAGGGCTAGAGAGGAAAAGCGGGAAAAAAGGGGGGCGGAACTTCGATAAAAGTACTTGGTTTCTCCCAGTTTGAACTCGGGGAGTCATGGAATCTTTACTAGCGGGGAGACCCCTTAAAGTTATTAAGTTTCTAGACTACAAATACGATCAAACAAATAAACTCCATCTTTCGATCGAACGAGCCAAATGATAACCCATCGTTCCCCGTTTACCATTTCTATTTTGATCGAAGTCACGGTCGTGCCCATCCTAGCACCCCCGTTACAGAAATCACCAAACTCAACCGGGAAATAGTAATCGAAACAAACAAAGAACCCTCAGTCACCCCATCGAACATCAGAGCCAAAATAAACGCAAAAATCCAGGACCCCGACTGTCAACTAATCGCCGCCCGGAAAACAACCAAGAACAACATAATCCTGGAATCAAAATTCGCAACCCCAGCAACAAAGGTCCTTGAATACAAAAAGGAAATTGAAACCGCCCTAAACGAACTAAAAGTACCATTCGTCGACATCCGGGTCAACTCCAGATGGTCGAATTCATTCTCCATGGCATCCCTACCTCCATAGGGGAAGCATTTGACGCAGGACAATTTCTGGCCTCGGAAATCAGAAACAATTACGGCAACACCTTCGAACTGGCACAAATCCCGAGATGGTTATCAAAACCAGAAGCCAGAATTGGGAAATCCCACTCCTCCATGATCATCGCCCTCCCCGGACAATTCACCAACGAAAACCTCGGCCTCCGGTACCTCACCCTCTTTGACAGAAACTGCAAAATTGACAGCTACCTCCCTGCAAACCCAGAAACCCAATGCGCCAAATGCCTTGAATACGGACACAGGCAAGAACGCTGCTCCCACACCAACGGAAGATGCGGACACTGCGCCGAGGAACACCAAATCAAGGACCACCCATGCACAGAATGCGCTGGAGGCCTTAGATGCTCACACACACCCATCCGATGCTACCATTGCAAGGCCCCCCACAAAGCAACAGATAGCAACTGCCCAAAACGAACCAAAGTCCGATTCACAAACAGACTCGGACCAGACACAAACCCAAGCCCGCTAACAATACCCATAGTCATCCCGGCCCAAGACCCCCCACAGGAAGATGCAGCCATGGACAACACCCAATGAGTCACATCAAAAGAATCACGGCTATCGCACAGCAACTGAACTGTGCGAAAAACGAGTTCACAACAAAGTCAGTAGTGGAGGAAGCAGAACAGGACCACAACATACTTTTTATTTTATTACAAGAACCATGGAATAACAAAGACGGTCACCCACCGGAATCCCCTCTCTTTTACCTTTTCACAGCCAGCAACAAAGGCACTAAAGCCGCTACATACATCAGAAAACACGCCAACCTAAAACCAAAACACCACTACACCCATAACAACTTCATCGTCTCAGTCACGGTGGAAATCCAGAGCCAAAAAACACAAATCCTCAACATATACTCACCAGGGCGAAGCGGACCCTTCACAGAAATCTCCCGACAAATAACTACCATCCAAAATTGCCTCGTCATGGGAGACTTCAACAGCCACCACCAACTCTGGTATGGACACAGATCCCACGACTACACCAACACAATTAGAGCAAACAAATCTGGATCCAAGAAGCTGAAAAGATGGATAGACCGACAAAAGTTATCCCTACTCAACGAACCAGGCGAACTCACACATTTCCCCAGGAATAACAACAGACCGACCATTATCGACCTGACATTAGTCAAAGGACCGATACTAGACCACGATACCCGCTGGAACATCGACCGACATGGAGCAGGTTCCGATCATGGAAAAACGATCTTGCAACTACGAATAGAAAAACCCCCCCACATCCCCAGGAGACTATGGCACCGAACGAACTGGGAGAAATTGGAAGAAAACATCTCAGGCCTCCATTTCCCCTCCGAAGCATGGGAAAGCCAAAATCACACAAAACAATCGGTCGACTTCATCCTCGAACACATAGATAACCTAATAGATCAAGTCACCCCATGGAGCCAAGGACATCTCAAGTCCAAGAAGTGGTGGACCCCAGAACTCAAGAAACTCAAATCAACCCTCAATACTCTAGAAAGGAAAGCCAGAAACACCCAAATGAACGAAGACAGAGAAAACTTCAGGTAAACGAGCAGAAAATGGACCGCAGCGATCCGCAAAGCCAAGGCAGAACAAAGGGAGAAAGAACTCACAGAGCCAAGGGAAGCGTCATCTGGAAACTAGTCAATAAAGGAAAAAAGAGGGACATTACAATCCCAACTATACAAGGTGAAGAAACGTTTGCGGGGAAGTGCCAAGCTCTAAGAGCCCAACTCTTCCCCACAAATTGTACGTTCCCCGACAACCCTCCACTCCAAATCAGACCCCCCTCTTTTGACCTTAGTGACGATTTTCAGGAAGTAACAACAGAAGAAATTACATCCGCAATCAGATCATGCCCAACACACTCGGCCACCGGACCAGATAATATTCCATACCCATTTATACAGGCAACGATCAAGGCAAACACCCAACTCTTCATCAGCAAACCTGGTAGCCTTCGCCAGACGCCCGGGGCGCTCAGGGCGCTCAGGGCGCTCGGTAGGTAAACTACCTCTCCAGAGATACCGCCAGTGCTCCTGGCGAGGTCTGGCGCACATTATTCCGCCCCAGCGCACACTAGTCCGCACAACGGGCCCCGACACTAAATAATAGCGCCCGGTGTAACTAGGACGTCACTCTACCCGCTAGAGAACGCCAGTTGCACGGTTGGATATCCTGACTGCTCCTGGAGCACTCTTCACTGCTCCAGCGGGCTCTGGGGATAGAATGATTGCCCTGACTCCCCCTGACGTTGCCGGATGGGGTGCTTTGAAATCTGGCTCATGCCCGACGTACCGATTCCTACATGTCGGCGCCCCGTTCTCTCTAGGCATACACCTCTCCGCCGTTCCGGCCTCTGGTATTCACAATTCCCCCATGAGATTACAAAAACATCACTCGCACGACGATCTCTACTGTCTCCAGAGCACTCGCGACTGCACTTTGAGAATTGGTGTATTCAACACCGTGATCCTCCGCCTAATACTAAATACTATACGCCATTTAACACCCTAACTAACCCTAATACAATATACGAATCAGAAGAAATCCCCCACTATCTCCCTTAGCACTCGTGATTGTTCTACACATCCTCCCCCCCCCCCCTTCGTAATCCCCCGCTACAGTAATTCCGGCTCTTCTTCTTCCTCCTCCCCCTCCTCTTCGGTGTCAATGCCGCGAAGTCGGGCATTAATCACTTCGTCCTGGGCGCTGTCGGAATCAACCCGACCTCCTGGAGCACTCGTGGGTGTTCTCCGAGCATCTCGGAATGCGGCAAGATCCGCAGCCAGAGCTTCATCGTCCTCGCTAAAACCCTCCTCCGGTATAATCTCAATCGTTACCCCTTTTTTATCTCGTATCTATTAGGGTTAGCATTTAGAATACCACTCGCATTACCGGCATCTAGAAGTATCATACCTTTCTCGAAGGTTATCTTTGATTACCTCCAAGGTTGCCTCCTGGTTCTGTTTACTTCTCCCCTTCCAAGTGTTGCTCATCCTGTTGAACGTTTCTACTCGTGTTTGGATGTCAGCTTGGCAATCCCGTATAGCCCTAGGAGCATCCGTCATTGCTCCCAAGGCACTCGCCATATCAATGAGGGCATCGGGCCATACTTACTCACAACACTCTCATTCTGCGACTGAAAATTATCAGGCTTCACGTAACTCCCTGTTGACCACGCCCGAATGCCGTGCCAGATCGCCGTCGATATCAGGCAAATAAGGGTAGGGTTATCCGCTCTAGAAATTCGGGATCCCTAACCCCTCGCATTCTTACCCCATCGAAGTATTTAAAATACAATATATCGATAATTTCCGGAGCCAGGAAGCGCAGTCGGTAGGTCTAGAATCTGTTACC